GAGGAATTAATAAATTTGTCACGTATAATAAAATATAAAAATAATAGGTGAGGAAGTTTATTTTCGTCAATAAATACTTTAATTTTTGGGTGAGAAAAAAAAATAAGTTTCGTCACCAAATATTTTTGAGAATCTTTTTGGTGAGAAAATAATGTTGTCAACCAATTTTGGTAGAAAAATTTTAATGTATTGAGCAGCAATAAAAAAAAAAGAAAAGAAAACATCAGTGCGTTTGGTTTTTAGTTTTCTAAAAACGGTGTGTTTTGTTTTTCGTATTTTTTTAGTTTTTAGTTAATATTTTTAAATTTTAAGTAATTTTTTTACTTTTTTTAGATACACCTTATTTAGATGTATCTAAATAGTAAAATATTTTTGAAAAAATATTTTAAAAAATTAATAAATACACAAAAATATGAAAAATGTAATGAATTTCATATATTTTTTATATTTTTTGAATATTTAGTGTATTTTTTTAAATAATTTTTTTCACATATATTATACTTTTTAAGTATATTTATATTAAGTGTGTCTAAAAATTTTTAAAAAAAAACTTAAAATTTTAAAAAATTCATGAAAAATATCAAAATATGAAAAATAAATAAATAGAATTTTCTAAAAACTAATTTTTAAAAAACTGGAACAAACAAGTTAATTTTTTTTTAATCCTTTTCTGTTTGCCATCTCTCTCTCTCCTCTCTCTCTCTCTCTCTCTCAAAATAGGGTATTAATTTTTTTGCCCTTTCTCTGTTTATCAATTCTCACTCTCTCTCTCTCAAACACACACGTAATACCTCTTCGCCATAAGCTCTTTCCCTTGCTACTCCACTTCGAATATATTCTTCATTATTAATTTTTTAATTGTTGAAAAGAAAAAAATCTCACCAAAAGTTTCAAAATTTTGGCACCATCAAAAAAAATTAGTGGGAAAAATTTAGGTGACGAAACTTTTTTTTTTCTCACCTAAAAGTAAGTATTTATTGACGGAAATAAATTTTGTCACCTATTATTTTTATTTTTTTATTATGCGTGACAAAATTTATAATTCTTCATGGATTATTCTTATTTAGTGACGAAATTTGTTTTCTTTACTAATTTTCGTCACCATACCAATGCAGAGAATAAGAGAAAGAGACACTAGAAAAAGAGCAAAGAGAAATCACGTACCAAATCACCGAGTGAAGAAGATGTGGCGGTTACCGACAAGGCTACTAGTGGCGGCGACGATCGGCAAGACTAATAGAGGCGACAATGGTGATCGGCGTGGTGGAGGAGCAAGAGGTAAGACAAATAAATACCCTTTTGAGAGAGAGAGAGAGATAGAGATGATAAACAGAAAAGGGGTAAAAAAAAATTAATACCCTATGTTTTTTTTAATTGCCCCTCAATATATCAAAAATTTCCCACCAAAATTGGTGACAATATTATTTCCTCACTAAAAGATATCAAAAATATTAAAATGTTTTGGTGACGAAAATATATTCCTCACAAATAATTTTATAATTAGTGACAACTTTTTTTCTCACCAAAAGTCCCAAAATTTTGGCGCCACCAAAAAAAAGTAGCGGGAAAATTTTTGGTGACGAAACTTAATTTTTCCTCACTTAAAATGAAGTATTTATTGACGAAAATAAATTTTATCACCTATCATTTTCATTTTTTTATTATATGTGACAAAATTTATAAATTCCTCACGAATTATTTTTATTTAGTGACGAATCTTATTTTCTTCACTAGTTTTCGTCACCATAGGTTACTTTTGTTGTAGTGTGACCGGGAATTACCAGATTGTTTGTCATAGTTTCTACTGTAAAAAATGTGATTTATGTGTGTGCGCACGCGTGCACGTTTGAGATGTTCCTATCTATTCAAAGAATCTTTGTATGTTGGAATAAGGTTGCAGTTTTTATCATATTCCAGGTTATAAATTTCTTTTTACCTTTTCACATAGTGGTAATCGTCTCTTTACTTATAGGCTTTTATTTTTATTTTTCTTCTTTTTTTATTTCTATTTTTATTTTTTATTTTTTATATTAAAAAAAATGGGATTCGTGCATTTTAATCTTAATATTATTTAAAGTTTGGTAGGCTTATATGCCACCAAACTGGGTTCTATTTTTTTTAAAAAAAAATTTGGTGGGTTTAGATCCGGATCAACATTCTTGATTTGTTTATAGATTTTTAAATTGAATGTTTAAATTTAGGGAATCACTATCCTCAATTGGGATAGTAATCCCATTAAATATGTTATCATACACTTGAGCCACACCAAATCACAGAAATATCCACGAATCCCATTTTGATTTATGGGTGGAAAATTGGTGGGTTTGGCGTTTTCCACCCATAAATCACAATACCGGCCCGAAATGGAGTACTTGGATTATGTGTAGAATTGTGGATACTTTTCTCTAGGTTTCAATTATTTTTCTGAGTATCACTGTAATTTTCCCAACATGAGAGTTAGGCTACACTACACTACCCAAAAAAATAAAATTGAATAATTTGAGATGTTCTAATTTGTTCAAACACGCGTCTATTGTTGTGGAACTTTTCTCTAACATGTAACCTTCTGATGAAAACAATTTTGTTGACTGATAGAATTTATGTGTGCGCGTTTTATTTTTTGTAATCAATTTCTTAGTCCCTACCATTTTTACATTCAAAAATTCTCTCTTTTTTTGTTTCTCTAAAAAATAAAAAATTAAATGATGAGCTTATTTGAGATTCTACTACTCTCTCTCTCTTACCCAATTCGAAAACAACCTGTCCAGAACAGAATGATTATGTAGTTTTCTCTGTATGGTATATTTCTATTTGGTATTTTTCCATTTTTTTTTTCTCCTATTAAATTTTTTTTGTCCTATTAAATAGTGTTGGGATTAAATATATTTTTATAACTGTATTTTAATCTTAATATTATTTACACCGTGCCTTTAGGCACGGGCATACGCTAGTACTTTATAAATTTTTAAATTTTTTTCACCAAAAATAAAAAACAAAATTACTGCAAAAAATATTAAGAGACTAATTTATATCATCATTAAAAGGCAGTTCCAAAAAGTTTTAAAAAATGACCTTCCGTGATAAAATTTTAAAAATTTCGTCAAAAAATACATTTTTGGGACAATAATTTTGTACCAAAAATATTTACTTTTTAGCACAAAAATTTTAGTTTCAAAACATGGTAATTCATCACTAAATGTCTAATTGCATTGCTAAAACTATGACAATGACATTTTTAATTACTAAATTATTTTGTCTCTAAAGCGATTTCGCCCCTAAAATTTTGTCTATAAAATCTTAATTTTTTTTTACTAACAAAATAAATAAATAAAAAGTTACCCAAACCCAAATGAATGTATTAGGACGAATATTGGAGATTGAATTAGGATCTTTGACTTAGTTGTTGTGTATTACTATTTTATACTGCGAGATCTTGGATTTAACTCCAATTAAGGGGAGTTTGATACCTTTATAGTAGTGTGTATTTCTCTCCCATTATGTAGCTAGCCTGGTAGGTAGCAATAGTTGGGTTTGAGCTTGAGTTTAGTGATGGTTGACTCTCTAACTAGGTTAATGATCTATTTAATATATTATTTTTATATTTATAATTACTTTTTTATGGATTAATAAAATAAAAATAAAAATAAGCTTTTTTAGACGGTAAAATAAAAATATGTTGGACATTGTGAATGTTGGTAAATTTCTTTTCAACAATGTTACATCCCCTAATTTATCAGTCATAAATGATCCTTAATGTTGTGGCATTAAGGTTAAACTCTACATGATGGGATGTTTTACAAATTAAAATCGACAATGCTACGTAGCTCAAATTTTGTGGCTCAAAAGTGGCTCAAATGGCCAAAACGACGTCGTTTTGAGTACAGAACAACATAAAAATGGCCAAAACGACGTCGTTTGGGCCGTTTGAGCCACTTTTGAGCCACAAAATTTGAGTTACGAGACATTTTCCAATTAAAATTTGACACTTGTCAGACACATCATTAGAGGTGATTTTTAAGGATGATAAATTAGGTACCTCAAGCATTTTTCATTGTTTCCCACTTTTTCGGACCACTTAACTTTCTTATTTTCAAAAATAGAAAAAAATCAAAATTTATATGGACCATACAGTTTTTGAAAGCACTTCATTTACAAGTAAATGTTTTAAATTGTAATGAATTCCCAAAAATTGTTTTCATGCTGAAAAAACAAAGGTAGCGTTTGGTAGAGTTTTGTAAATGTGATTTGAGAGTATGAGTTGTATTTGAGTTTGTGTGTTGTGAAATTATGATTTGAGTGTAGAAAATTTGTTTGGTAAAGAGTTTTGAAAATAGTTTTGATTTGAATGGAGAATTGTTGATGTGACAATTGATATGTAATACAAAAATTTACAACTCATAACTAAACATATAACTCAAAATTATTTTAAAGTACATGAAAAATTTTAAAAATTTCAGAAAATATTTTTTTCGATTATATAAATAAAAAAAAATCACTATTTCGGTCAACCGGCCGGACGACCGCAAGTGTTCTGTACAGAGTTTTAAAATCATCGTTTGAAAACACTAACCAAATACCTTACTTGAATTAAGATGTGAAATCATGATTTAAATTCACAACCAAATAGAGTCAAAATGAAGACGATCACTACAACATATAAGACTTTTGGCGATCAATTATTTTGGTCCCTAAAATCATTATTTTGGTCTCTAAATGATTTTTGTGACCAAATTAAATTCGTCTTTAGCGACAAATTTTTGAAAATGTCCCTGAAAATGACAATTAGCGACCAATTTTATATTGTCACAAAATGTTTGATTTTGCAAAACTAAAATATTCCGTCGCTAATACTTTGTCACAAAATGACTCCATTTGGTCGCAAAAAGCAAAATAGTGACCTTTTTTACAACAAATATATTTGGTCGCTAAAGGTTTGGAATACCATTTTGTAAACATTCAATTTCATAGCTACAAATTGACATCCACCGTCCAAATCTATATAGTAAAAAACAAGATCAAATCTATTCTTGTATATACAAAAAACAAATTACAAAAATCAAAATTCGAAGTATCCAAATTCACTTCAACATAGTTCATTATATGAGTTAAATCCCAAAACAAAATCAAAATAGTTTAACATTGTATGAGTTAGAACTCTATGACGACTTTAACTTTGTCTTTCTCTTGCACCACCTCTTCACAAGTTCAGTTACAAGAGCAAACATGCCCTAAACAATTAGTTGTTCCACGACCACAAAAGCTTATCACCGTCTATAGTCATAGAGAAAGGATGAAAATCCTGCACACATGATCATAATCAGAAGTGTAAACAAAGTTTAAAAATGTAAAAGAGATGTAGATGAAATCCAAAAATGGATATCAACCTTGAACAACTTAACTAAGGTATTTGAAGCAAATAAAAGCTCAGAGTTTTGGGGCAAATTGAAAGAAAAAAATTAAAAAAAAAAATTATTCGACTTCTATTACAAGTGTAGCATTATCAGCAGCCCAAGTACAAGCAATCTACACAAGAGCTACAGCCTCAGCACAAGTGTGTGCAACTGCATTACAAGTGTAGCATTATCCAATATGGAAAATTGACATTTGACCAACAAGATTAAAATAATGTTACCTGTACAATAACAAATTTACGCTTGTACTTCTGAACAATTTTCAAGAATGTGTCGCAAGCCATACCTTGAAAGAATTATCACACACAAATTTTAACTTTAGTAATTTACTTTTCTAAGATTAAAAGGTAAAATGTTGGTCATAGAAGATGAACAAGACAGGAATGACAATACCCAATTAATGTAACACCACAAACGCCATATATGATATTAAGAAGGCTATCAAAGTAATTAACTAGAACCACTGAAACAATATAAACACTCCAAATTTTATAACAAAAACTAGAACATAATTAACAAGTCTAAAATAAACACATAGATAGGACACATTGTGTGGATTGCATAAGGAGCAAAAAGTTATTGCAATGCATACCATACCATTAATATCATAAACAACATCAAAGCCTTCGGCTGAGAGACTGGCTTTCATGAATTCAATGTCCTTCCTGTCTCCTTTCAAGTGCAAGATCTACATTAGAATACAATATTTCACTACTCAACAAAGAAAAATATGAAACTGGTCAAAAAGGCGAATAGAATTTTCCAGTGTATATGTCATAATTAATAACCTTGGAAGAAAAATCAGCATAATCCTTCTTTGATTCACCAGGCAAGTGTTGGATGATGGGAGCTTTTCCTCTTGTTGAGTTGGTAGAACACATGGGTACTGTGGAAAAACATAGTAGTTATGGAGTGAACCAGCTCATCAAACTTGAGTTGCATCCCCTTCCCAAAAACTAAAAAAAAAGTTAAATAGGGAGTTGGTAGATGGGGGTGGACAGGGAAGTCAATATAGCACATGCCGGAATACCCAATAATTTTTTTGTGCCTGGAACTTGTAACAAAATAACAAAATAATTGAATTAAAAATTTAACCTACTTGGATTAGGGATGTGTGTGTTGAGATATTACAACGTCACAGTCCTTACATAATTTGAAGAAAAGAATCATGATGTTGAATTATTGGCTCAATATCCATTTCTAATATAATTTGGATTGAGTATTCTATTTTTTAATTGGAATAAAATTTGTAAGTAGTCAAATATTGACTTTATTTTAACTCCTATATTGATTTGGATTTGTGAGAGACCTACTTGACTTGGTATCTCTTCATTGAAACTTCGATTTTGTGAGACTTGTGTAGAAAAGATTTGGATTTGGTGAGAGAACTTATATTTTGTGCTTAGTGAGCTTAGTTATTTGTAAGAGATTGTTTTGTCAACATTGTAACTTTTCAGAACATTGTTCTCTTTTCTAGTGGAATCCTTCTCTTTGTGATTATCCATGGACATAGACTTAGGCCGAATCACGTAAATCTGGGTATCTTGTGATCGTTTCTCTCTCGTAAATTTGTATAATTTTTATGATTCTTCTATTTCAAATTCGAAGCCATCAATTATTTTGGTATTATCAAATTTTTTAAAAGCTCTCCGCATAACATATGAACATCACAAGGCCTTCTATTTCTGATCTTAAACATGTTTTTCAAATCAAAATTTCTTATCCATAGCTGATGCAGGGTTTAAGAAGATTTTCTTTTTGGACAAAGATTGAGACCTCTAATTCTTGACCTTTAAAAAGATTCTTAATTAGGTGACACTTTACCTCTGTTTCCATCTCATCAAATATAATCACACTCTCACATCTTTCCACTCACTTTAAGATTTTCATAAAACTTTATTATAATTTTGAACTTTTAAATTTAGTATAATTTCTTAAAATTTAATTTTCACTTGTAAGCTATTGTGCATGCCAAAGTCAAAATGTTCGTAACTGTCTCATAAGATTGTGATAGCTATTACATCTAGGCAACAACATTGATGATAGCTCTCACGTGCTCAAGCATGGTCTAGGAGAGAGAAAAGGGTGACTAGGCAAACCATCTTAGACCAGCAACAATTCAGATTTAAATCTTTCATCAAATTTGATAAAAACTATGTGAAGATATTGATTGTGGTAGCACTTGGGTTTCAAAGTTTAATTTGCTATAAGTTGTTGACACATGTGAAGATTGCAAGTTTATTCAAGAAGTTGTTTCTATCAGATAAAGCATTAAAAAATAAATAAATAAATTTAACTCATTTTACTTTAGTCTCGTTTCCTATCTTTTTTTATTTCATTTTGCTTTCCCTCAATAAATCTAAGATCCAAACATGGCCTAAAGTTATTTTAAGGGTTCTATAAACTATAAAAAGGCAAAGCACAATAAAGAAAATTCACAACCTTGAAATATCAGTCAAAGCACAGCAGAACATTTGCAAACTTAAATTATATAAATATTTGAACAATGAAAAAAGATGCAAATTCAAGATGAACCATAGGTAGAAGTACCTATTTCTGAAGATTCAATAAAGTCAATATTTCTTTTCTCAACTCAAGATGCTCTGCACCTACAACTTTGGTTGGAACCTTTGGTTTTAAATTAACCTATGAAAGGAAAGGGCTTGATTGCTTATTAAGAAGCATTTTAATGGAAGACAATGTGTAAGAAGTGACACCATAAGATAGCAAATTCTGAAACATCATCCTTTCATGTTTAGAAACATCTAATGAAGAACAATATGTTTATTATTTCCTGAAAATTTAAAAACTATGATAGGCTTTGGAGCAATAAGGAAACACAAAAAGGAGAAATATCTGAAGCTTAAGTTACACAAAAAGGTGCACCTCAAGCAAGCCAACTTGAGCAACTCAAGTTATAACTCTCACTATAGTATAATAAGTGAAACACCAACAATTAAAGCAACTATGTGATTCATATCTATGGAACACACTCATTATTTTCATAATATCATCATTAGGCATATTGTCAAACACATGGCGAGCAAAATATAAAATTGTCGTAGTCTAATCAAACACCAACAAGATAGAAATCCATCAAGAAAAAAGAAAGTAACAAATATACATATTATGAAGTTTCTGATATCAATCAGTCAATGAATGGGAAGTAAAACAAAAATCATTCGTCAAATCCATCAGGTCAAAAATTATAGAAAAATTCATACATAGAAACTCGAACAACAATCACAAAACACAAAAAGGTATAAAAAAATTTTACAAAAATTAATATCAGAAACTTCATATATAAAACTCTAATACAGAGTTTAGAAATCAGAGTTTACTTGGTCCCTATATATTTAGAAATCAGAGTTTCAGAGTTTTAAACTTCATATATATCAATAATTTCAACAGTTTAAACAGTACTGACCTAGGGAGAGAGAACTCGGAAGAGAAGTAAATCAACAACCGAGATTCTTCTTCAATGAATCGATGATGAAATCTTCCATTGATTGAAGATTGTGATGTAGAAAATGATGAAGAGAAAGAAGAAGAGATGATCGGATCAATATTGTAAATCATATATGTGTATAGGTGGAGGGAGATAGAGAGAGAAACGCACCAAAATTTGTAGAAGATTGAGCAAATCTGCCATGGATGCTTCCAATCTGTATTAGAGCTCTCGAGAGAGAGCAATCCCGCTGAAGAGAGAATGAGAGTTGCAACTTTTTGATTGCTAGCAAACCCGTTAGGGCTGAAGTGAGGTCCCAACTTTTTAATGGTTAAAATGATTAAAATATCTGGTCACAAAATGTTTTTAATTGATAATGATAAAAATATTTAGTCCCTAAAAATGTTAATAATGTATTAACAACCAAATTTATTCGGCACAAAAAATTATGTAGATATTAAGCGAGAATATTAGTAGTCATTTTTACAATCTTATAAGTAAATTATCATATGTTTAAATTTGTCCCTAAAAAATTATTTTTAGCGACCAAATTTCTTTAGTCCTTAAATATTTGTCTCCAAAAGACTAATTTCTTGTAGTGCCAGTCCGTCCAAACAAACACACCCGGTGTGTTTTCTGTAGATCCTGCTGTGCCCTTTGGTTGTCTCACCTTCAATCCATTTTTATGATCGGAATTGTTTATCTAGTAGGACTCATTCAATAGATCATTTATGATCGGATATTTATAGTCACGTGATGACATCATATTTATTTTAAAAAATGAACGATCATTTAATATTTGTAAAACAAATATGATTCGATCAATATTACTACTGAAAAGGAATGATTTGAATCGTAGAAATAGATTTGAGATGGGCTCCACTAAAAGCACACCGTGGGTGTTTCTTTTCCCACACCCCACTCTTGCTGCATGTAAATTTATTTTCTCGCTCCATTTTGCTGATATTTGTACTGGGTCAAGTGTTATTTTAAGTTGGATATTTCATTATTTGTGTCCTGTAATTCTAAGGCGTAAGAAAAGAACAAATTGAATAAACTCTTAAGACAGTTATCACTAAACAGTAATGATTGAGACTCCCACAAAACATCACCCTCACTAAAAGAATAGTTTGAGAAAGAGAGGGAGAGAGAGCAAAATGAATAACTCTGTATTTCTGTCTGTTATTACAAGAAGATGAACACTCTCTTTATAGAGAGGAGATGACAGCATAGGATGCTAAGTTAGGCACCGAAAGCAAGAAACATTACATATAATATAATATAAATGACAACTAGCTATACTTTACTTTACAGCTTTTCTGTATACTAATAATACTAACAGCCCCCCTCAAACTCAAGGAGGATAGATACAAACCAATTTGAGTTTGTAAAGAGTAACAAAACAAGAAAATAAAATAGGATAGGAGACACTGTATGGTCGTGTCGAACCGTTGGTGAAGACACTATATGGTTGTGTCAGACCGTTGTAGCAGATAATGTCTGGACAGTTTACGAGGTCATGCCGGACCGATGTAGAAGCTAACTGGAATCAATGTCGAGACAGTTTACGGGGTCATGTCGGACCGTTGTAGGAACTAACCGGAATCAATGTCGGGGCAGTTTACGAGGTCATGCCGGACCGATGTAGAAGCTGACCGGAATCAATGTCGGGACAGTTTACGGGGTCATGCCGGACCGTTGTAGAAGAATTTGGTGGTGCACCAAGGTGACGACTTAAGGAGTGCGCCATGAGGTGACTTGGATGGTTCCCATGGTGTATAACCATGCGCACCAGCTTTGGTGGTTCGCATGGCGTGGAACCATGCTCACCATGATATATGTAGAATACCCCCCTCAAACTCAAATAGGTGTAAAGATAAAAACCTATTTGAGATTGAAACAAAGGGATTGATAAAGTGGAGCAAAACCGTTCAACACAGAGTGAAGATGTTAAAAAAAAATAATAAATAAAAATAAAAAAATAAAAAAAATGATAGAAAGGGTTTTTTTTTTTATTTTATTTTCGGTTGTGGTGTAAAATTGTGATCGGGGTTGATCCCGGCATGAAGAAATGTTGGGGAATGAAAACCGAGTTGGTTGTGAATGGTTTTTTTTTTTTGAATAAAATCAGCCATCATTCAGTAATGCAGTTGCTAAAGAGAAAAATTAAAAGTCGGAGCAGCAAGCATAAGTTTCTTCAAGCCTGTATTTGATAAAAACAAACTGAAAAAAAAAAAAAAAGTGATTGGGAGTGCAAAAAACAACACCATAGCAAAGCTTTTTCTCTCACGTGGGAGAAGAATACCCATGTAGCCCACTATCCAAGGCATGGACAGCACGTGAGAGAAGAATACCCATGTAGCCCACTATCCAAGGCATGGACAGCATCATTAAACCCACCTACTTTGATTTTAAAATAGCAACTATCCAAAGGAGCCCATGTGCTTCCTGAAACAATTATGACAGACTGGGAGATGGAGCCAATTGAGATTGGAAATAAAAGTGAAAACCTTTATGACTGCTATACCCTTTCCCGTATTGAGGCAGTGCCATCCCCATCTGGAGGGAAGACATCTCAGATTCAAAGGATGATAAACTGGGTGACAGTGAATTCTTATGCTGAAATTCAGCCTCTGAATGGAGGCAGTAATAGCAGCAAAGTAAACTAGGGGATGAGCCAGTTTTTTGATTGACTTCCAAGGTTGGAGCTAGCTCACACAAAATATATATCTCTTATCTCAGAAAGAGTTTGCAGCAGTGGTGACAGGTGGCGTGGTCGGCATTGGCCAGATCACGGCTGAAGACAGTGGGGACGTTGCAGGTGAAGAACGCGAAGCAAGCCGGGCGAGGTAGATGGTCACACGCACAAAGTGGAACTCCGGTTGGCTGTCGGGTGGGCCGACGGGGTGCTCGACGACGTCGGTAAGAGAGAGGTGCCGAGAGGGAGAAACATGCATGCCCTTGTGTGTGTCCTCCGTGTCTCATCAGTGATAGAGAGAGTTGTTGCCATCAGTGATCTGCGTAGAGCAGAGAGAGAGAGACAGCTTCCCTTCGGAGAGAGAGAGTAAGAGAGTTGAGTTGCAGACATGGTGTTCGACGAAATGTCCCAGAGGGATTTTGGGTTTGTTCCGGCGGAGGTGGTGAAGAAGAGTGGAGTGGAGGTGACCAAGATGGAATTTGTTAGAAACTACTGCAGCAGCAGCAACAACAAGAAGATCAAGATCAAGAAGAATAATTTGTAGCAGCGGAGTGAAGATATGTGTAGAGGTCCGGCGGGCGGCCAAGGCAAGGCTGCCGCCCGCCGGTGAAGTAGAATTACTAGGTTCTTAACCTAGCTCTGATACCATGTAAAGATAAATTGATAAAGAGAGGGAGAGAGAGCAAAATGAATAACTCTGTATTTCTGTCTGTTATTACAAGAAGATGAACACTCTCTTTATAGAGAGGAGATGACAGCATAGGATGCTAAGTTAGGCACCGAAAGCAAGAAACATTACATATAATATAATATAAATGACAACTAGCTATACTTTACTTTACAGCTTTTCTGTATACTAATAATACTAACACTCACAATCCCACTCACTTATGATTGGTCCAAGTAAAAAAGAAAAAATAAAAAAATAAATAATACAAATACATCATTAGTCCACATTATTGTGGGGTAATGAAAATCTCCCCAAAAGGGGATCCCAAACATTATTTATCACTAAATTTAGGAGTTGCGATGAGTAGCTCGAAACTCGCAGGCTCGAATGGCCCGAGTCCTATATACACTCCATTTCTTTGTATACCCTCGTTTATTTGTACAGCCCTTCTCAGTTTGACCCACACATTTCATTTGAAAAAAAAAAAAAAAAACAGAATAGAGTAGAGAGGAGCTGACCGACGGGTGCTGGTGCTCCCGACGAGGCTGGTGCTGCTTCTGTGTGTGCCGATGGGTGCTTCCACTGCTGCTGTGTGTGGCGAAGTGTGCGCTGTTACTGCTATGTGTTCGAATGGTGCTGTCGCTGCAAAAAAAAAAATATAAAAACATCATCACCACCACCATCATTTATCTGTTGGTGGGTTGATGGTAGTTCATCAGATGCTTTGATCAGCCAATCATATCTCTCTGATCTCATTTGGGTTGTTATTGATTGTCTTGCTTCCCACAAAAATAAAGATTATTATTTGTTTGTTTAATTAATCAAAAAAATACTAATAAAGTCTTTTGTTTTGCAGGTGTCATTTAACTGGAACAACTTGACTTGCAAAGTGGGCTCATTTTAGGGAAGAGGTGAGAGAGAGAGAGAGAGAGGGCGGGGGAAGAGGAAGGGGCTCATCACCAACAGGGTAGAGAATAGTGAGATCAAGCCAGGAGACCACAGCTACACTTACAGAGTTGTCTTCACTTGCTCATTTCGAGCTACGAATCACAACTGAATACTCGTTTCGTTTTGAGCTTATAGACACAGATAGAGAGGAGAGAGAAAATATCACTTTTCGGGCCATGTTCGAGCCACCACTTTCGAGCTACGAAGCAATAATCTTAAATTTAGTGCACTTTTGATGAATTTTAAAATACTTTATAATTTTTTTTTTCACACTTTTTCAAAATATTTTTTCTCACATTCACTTGTTAGCATTTACCTTATTATTTTTGTAAATAAAATATATTATATATCAAATCTGAACATTACAAATCATCATCAAATATAATAATAGAACAATCTGTGTATAAAAGTATATGTCCAACATTTTAAACCATAAATTTGGTTATACATGTCAAAAGAAAAAACCTAAAAAATTATTGTTTAAATTGTGTGAACTAGATTTATTATATGTGTGAACTAGATTTATTATATGTGTGATTTACAAAACATTGAATTTGAATCTACACTATACACACACTTTCTAATTAAATTTTGAGATATTTTTTTGAGTTCCAATCCTTTATGTAACCAAATTGAGAAAAAACCTTTAGTTAGATTTATGGTTTCATACCAAATCAAAGTTAGTCCAAATATTTGGATAAACTTGCCAAATTATTAAATCATGGCCGGCTAGGTGGTTTGCCAAACTTTGTCAAATATAGATTTAGACCGTTTTAATCCACCATATGTGCCTACTATACTCGTCAATTTGTGGTTGGTTCAAGTTCAAACTTGCTGGAGTTTTCACCTTAAAGCATTTTGTTTTGACATTACTCTAAGACCATCTCCAACCCTTCACCAAACCTAACATCAAATTTGAAATTTGGTGAAAAAAGCACTGTTTGGAGCTCCAAAGGTTTTACCAAATTGATATCAAATCGAGAATTCACCAAACGTTTCACCAAAAGGAGTACAGGCTCCGCATTTCACCAAAACACTGTGCATAACCGTTGGGGGAGACCAACCGGTCGACCACCAAAAGGTTCAAACAGTTCCAAAAAAAGTTCAAACAGTTGAAAAAAAAAAAAATAATTTGCCTTACCGGTTGACTGGCCGGTCGACCACTAAAAGGTTCAAACAGTTCAAAAAAAAATCAAAAAAAAAATATATATATATATTTGGCTTAACCGGTCGACCACCCGGTCGACCAACCGGTTATCCCGGCACAGATTTGATGAAAAATTGATGAAAATCAACCGTTAGAGCACTCGGTATCAGATTGAGGAAAAAGTCATTTTTTTACTCAGATTTGATGAAAATTTTGGTTCAGGGTTGGAGATGCTCTAACTCATGTTGTTTACTTTTTTTTTTCTTGTTTTTGTTTTTATTAATCAGAGATAATTTACAAATATAATGAGAATTACATATATTAAACTGAACAATTATAACTATTAATTGTGGTGAAAGTTGAACTTCAAATCTCAACAATTAAGATAATAATGCTGCCAATCAAATGCAGTAAATCAAAAATATCAGTTATTTTTCAGTTAATTAGCATGTGTAAGGTATGAAGGTATAAGAGATCCTCTTAATTTGAAAACTCTATTTTGAAAAAAAAGTCATTGTTTGGTTTTCAAAAAAATACATCATTGCAATTTTAAATTTCCCTCCAATTTAAGGAAAGAGGCAATTTAAAGAAAAAATTGTCACATTAAAAAATATTCTCATCTTTGTTGTATATATATATGTCCATGCTATATATGTATTAGTAAAATATAATTTGGTATGGGTACATATCCTACCATAACTGTGTCACTTTATCGTAAAATTTCTACGCATTTCAACCACAGAAAATGTAAATTATTTTTCCAAATTGGCATTAAAAAAATCACAATTTTTACAAATTTATTTACAAATTTGTGGAAAATGTACATATTTACAAATTCTGGAAAACATGAATTTATATACAAAAATTCAGAAAACGGAATTTTGCAAAAAACGCCCAATTTTTACAAAGTTGCATTAAAAAAATTGTGAATATATTTTAAAATTTATTTACATATTTACAAAATCATAAATTTATGTTTAAATTTATGATTTACACAATTTGCTTCATAACATTTATAAAAAATTAATTCTACAAAAGAAATTTTTTAATGCAAATTTGGAATTTTTTTTTTGCATTTTCTGTGGTTAAAATGAGTGTAAATTTTATAATAAAGTCACACATTTAATGGTATGATATGTACTCATAAATTACTACATACCAAATTATATCTTTATACATACATAACATGTATATATATATATCAAACTAAGAGGCTGTGAGGAGTACATAATAGGCTGTACTTATGCCTATGCCTCTTCACGTGATGTGTGAATAACAAAATCCTCAAAATATGCATTTTGAAAAATGAACTCACTTTTTGAAATAACCAAACAAGTATTCAATTTTTTTTAAAAAAACTGTGTTTAAAAAACCATAACCAAACACAATTTAGTGTCCAAGAGCACCATGTAACAAATGACCCCTCACATGTCTCCCAATCAATCTAGATAAAAAAGAGGACCCATCCAATATCACAATCCTTATTTGATTTCAAATGCGTACAGATGTAATCAACTGCAAATCACGTATAAATTTGGATTTTCATTATTAGTGAGAGCTGAATTTGAAATAAATATATTTGTAATTTATTTAATGACTCGCTCAACCAATGATTATCTGTGTGAATTATATATGCGACACTTAGACATGTTCAATTAAATCTATTGATAATGATAAGAACAATCACTAGCAAAGTTCTCTTGAAATTTTGGAATGTTAGAAGAGAGGAAGACCAAAATAAGTAATGTGTTCATGTAATACAATAAATAGTATGATATTAGTGAGATTAATCATTGCTTCTTCCTTAAAGTTGTAAAAAATGTCCAATACGTTTTTTTTTTTCTTTTTCATTTTATAAGTGTATCCCCAAGGCATATTTATGTGAAGTAAAATGCCTCGTCGGTTTTCCCCTTGAAGCATATGAGACGTATCACACTGTCCGCCCTTAATATCTGTTTGCCCTTTTCAATTTTTCCCCTTGGTAACATATAACTTTGGTGTTCACAAATTCAAAAATGGATGTGTAATGCATTTATTACTAGACAAAGTGTATATGCTCTTTCTATTTTTTTATATGACATTTCTATTAGTTGATGAATTAAATACAAATTGTGTAAGTTGCTGGTATTTTGATTTTGGAAGTTGTCTAATATGTTATATAAATTTGACTTTATAGAAAATTGAAGTTGTTAGGCAGGAACTTGCAAAGCTTAAGAAGCAAAACGCAACCTAATATCTATTTTCATAGTTTATTTGTCACCTTCGTTCTTCTTTTAATTTCCATGGCTCGTAATAGTGTGATGAATGTGTTTTTTTGATGACTCTGATTCTGATAGTGAATTGGAGATATTTGCAATAGCTGCTTCAAAAGAAGAGCAACTAAATAATGAGAGACGAGTGGGGTTACATCATGGTTCCATTCAAACTCATGCAATTATTTATCATAATCAAATTCAAGGCCACAAGAGACTTTATCAAGATTACTTCTTTGAACACTACAAGAAAAAGCACCTTTGGCGACTAAATTTTTAGTCGCCAAAAGTTTGTTTTTAGTCGCTGAAAGTCGAGTTTTTACTTTTAGCGACTAATTTTTTTAGTTGCCCGTTTTGTCACGTATATATGGTCGCCGGAGGTATTGGCGACTAAAATTCTTTTAGTCAGCAAAAAATAGCTCTTTAGCGACCAACGATTTAGTCGCCAATAGTGATTTACACTTTTTAAAATCACACATTTGGCAACTAATCTTTTAGTCACCAATAGTCCATGAATCGCCGACTAAACCATTTAGTTGCCCAAAATAAACACTTTTAGTTGCCAAAGGTGCTTTCGTGAAAAAAAAAAAAAAAAAACCAACTTTTTTGCTTTTTCTGAGATTCGAACAGCCAACCTCTCCCACATTCTAAACCTTTTAGCCACACACTCTCTCCACTACGCCACTACAACACCACATAAATATATATGCAACATATATTATTTATATGCTATATTGACCTGTATTAATATCTAGCTATATATATAAAAAATAATTATTTTTATTCAATATAATTTATGTAAAAAATAAATTATTTACTAAAAAAAAAATTAGATCACTTTTGGCGACTAAATCTATTTTTTAGTCGCCAATTGTATAGTTTTGGCTGCTAATTATATTTTAGTCGCTAAAAAAACTCATTCCCGCTGAAAAACCTCCACTTCCTCTGCTTTGGGTGACTAAACTGCATTTTAGTCGGTAATTCTTGACTTTTAGCTACTAAATTTTTTTTAGTAGCCAAAAAGCTTCACTTTTGGCTACGAAATTGATTTTTGTCGGTAAAACACGTATAATCGGCAACCAAACTATTTTTTAGTCGCCAAAACCTATACTTTTGGCTACAAAATGTTTTTAGTCGCCAAAAACCTTCTCTTTTGGCGGCTAAAATTTTTTTAGTCGCTAAAACCCCTATATTCAGCGACTAAATTGACTTTTAGTCGCTAAAACCCCTACATTTGGCTACTAAACTGTTTTAGTCGCCAACTAATTCCATTTTAGTCGCCAATTCTGCTACTTTCAGCGACAAAAAATTCATTTTTAGTCGCGAAATCTGCTTTTTCTTGTAGTGAAAACTCCTACATATCCTCCCAATTTATTCAGGAGGAGGTTCCGGATAAGTCAATGTCTCTTTCTTCGTATTTTATCTACTGTGGAAGCATATGATCCTTATTTTGCCCAGAAACAAGATGTTGTTGGAGTTCTTGGCTTGTCTTCCCTTCAGAAGATGACAGCTGCTATGAGGATGTTGGCTTATGGAGTAGCGGTAGATTTTGTAGATGATTATGTAAGGATTAGAGAAAGCATTGCAATAGAAAGTCTACAAAGGTTTGTTGAGGTAGTGGTTGCAGTTTTTTCAAATGTATATTTGAGGACACCAAACAAAGATGACATTGCTAAATTACTAGCGATGGAAAAAAATCATGGGTTTCCTGGAATGTTGGGGAGAATTGACTGTATGCATTGGAAGTTAAAGAATTGTCCTACTACATGAAAAGGTATGTATTGTGGTCACATCCATGCACCATCTATTATTTTAGAAGTGGTAGCTTCTTATGATCTATGGATATGACGTGTATTTTTTGGATTACCGGGATCTCATAATGACATCAATGTGCTAGAACATTCTTCTATATTTTTGCTCCTTGCTGAAGGGCGTGCTCTTCAAGTTAATTACTTAATCAATGGAACTGACTATACAATGAGATATTATCTTGCTGATGGTATATATCCTCAGTGGTCAACATTCGTTAAAACAATTTCATTTCCATGAGGCAATAACAAATACATTTTGCTAAAGCTCAAGAGTCAGCTAGGAAGGATGTCGAACGAGTATTTGGAGTGCTCCAAGCACGTTTTGCAATTGTGCAAGGACCTGCACATTTTTGGAAAGTTGAAACCCTTAAAGTTATTATGAAGACATGTATAATATTGCATAACATGATTGTTGAGGATGAGCGAAATGAACAAAATATAAACAATAATTATGATGCAATCGATGAAAGTCTCCCTCCAGTAGTGTCGCACAAGTGCACACTCGAACTTTATGAATTCATTCAAAATCATCATCGCATCAGAGATAGACAAACTCATTCTAAACTCCAAGCAGACCTGGTTGAGCATTTGTGGCATCTACATGGAGATTTGTAATAACTTGAATTAAAAATAGTTTATTTATTTTGAAGTTTATTCCTAACTTTGCTATTTATGATTTTTTTTCTTCTTATTTTATTCGTTGACCTTTGTAAGGTTTTTGCTTAGTTAATTTGTGTTCTTTTGGTTCTTAATTTGATAATTTACAATTATTGAAGAACTTCTTTTGTATTGCTATTTTTTTAAAAAAATTCGAACTTCTTTTGTATTGCTATTTTTTTAAAAAAATTCTTTATTGTTTTCTTTAATTCTTCCCCTTCTTTCCCCTTTCAGATGATTCCACAAAATTCATATGTTGGTATATATTCACATACTATACATTTTATAAATAAAAATAAATAAATATTAGTTAAAAATTATTTTTTATAATATTTTTAAAACTAATATTAAAAAATGGAATTTTTTTTGATAAATCTCATTTAGCAGTGTTCTAACCCAAGAAGTCCATGAATGAATTTTTTAACCAACTTAATCCTATGTATTTATACTTTTATTCCATAAAGTTTTTTTTTTCTTCTTAATTTACACTATTTTCTTAGACTCTTATGCCTTTATATTTAATATTGATATTTAATGTTGGGGGAAGGAGAGAGAAGAGAAAGGACCAAGGCATTGAAAATTTCATATACAAATTAAATAACATTGATGTTATTATTTTATATTATTATATAATCTGAATATATTTTTAACTGACAACATATTAAAAATAATGTGAATATTCTCTCTCATCTGATGTGAATATTTTTTAATTGACAACACATTAAAAATAATGTGAACATTCTTTCTCATTTGATGTGAACGTTCACAATACCTTTCCGAACATTCTCTCATCTAATATAGTGATGTGAACGTTCACAATATGTGAACTTTCGTATTTTTAATTGCCAACACATTAAAAACAACATTCATTATATTTTTAATTGACAACACATTCTTATTCACAACATGTAGTGATGTGAACGTTCACATTCGTATGTTTTAATATGAATATTCACACCATGTAATTGACACCACAATGACAAAAATTCATTTCAAATTAATGTAAATACAATGAAGTGAATATTCACATAATGTAATTGACAGCACAATGACAAAAATTCATTTCAAATTAATATGAATATAATGACAGTCAACATCCTGATGCATGGGAACAACCAAAATGAATATTCACTGCATGGGAACTATCAATCTGCCCTCCCATTTTCACTACCAAACATACTGTGAGTGGAACTCATAGCCATGGTAATCCAATATGGCCACTCAAACCACAAACAAACATGACCTTGGAATGTTAATCTCATCACAACAAACTTCCACAACCAAACATGACCTTTAGCCCTTATGGTTTAGCTTATATACGGATGACCCTTTATCATTTGGAAATAAGTATATTATCCGCTTATCAAACTATTTATCAAAATAATTCACTTTTAAAATTATTTATCAAACTAATCTATTTTTTAAAAAACATAAGTTCAAAATGAGACTTTATTATAAAATCACATGTTCAAAATGCGATTTCATATTAATTTGATTTATTAACGTGTAGATGTAGACCATATCAATATGAAATCGTATTTTGAATACACTACAAGAAAAGTGGGCTTAAAAGACGGAAGCATTTGAGACGGCACACTTGCCATCTCAAAAAGTGACTTTTTGTGACGACACAACTTACCGTCGCGAAAAATGTGAGTTTTTGTGATGACACAGCTTGCCGTCGCGAAAAATGTGAGTTTTTGCGACGGCAGAAATTGCTGTCGCAAAAAAAAAAAAGTATTTGCGACGGCAAAAAAATGCTGTCGCGAAAAACGAGAGTATTTGCGACAGCAGAAATTGCTGTCGCAAAAAAAAGAGAGTATTTGAGACAGCAGAGATTGCTGTCGAAAAAAAAATGTGAGTTTTTTTGTGACTGTAATAGGTACCGTTGCAAAAAAAAAGTTAAAAAAAAAATATTGTGACTTTGAGACGGATTCATATATATATAGTCACAAAATGGTTTGAATAAATGCAATGGTATTTTTCTGTCGCAAATTTTTTTTTTAAAAAAAACGACGTCGTCTTACTCTTTTGATATAACATTTCTCTTTTCACCCATTTTTTCAGCTTCCTGTCTCTTTGCCTCTGTCTTTGTCTCTGTCTGTCTGTCTGTCTGTCTCTCTGTGTGTCTTTCGCTCATCTCTCTTCTTTCTTTGTGTCTCTCGCTCATCTCTCCTCTTTGTCTCTCTCGTTCATCTCTCTTATCTCTTTTCTCTCTTTGTCTCTCTCGCTTATCTCTTATCTCTCTCACTCTATCTCTTTCATCTTTCTTCTCTCTCTATTTCTCTCGCTTATCTCTCTTTTCTCTCTATCTCTCTCTTGTTCATCTCTTTTAGCTCTCTTTCTCTCTTTTTTTGTCTATCTCTTACTTATCTCTTGTTTCTTTCTTTCTTTCTCTCTCTCTCTCTCACACTCATCACTCTTCTCTCTCTCTTTTTCTCATTCTGTCTGTTTGTCTCTCTTTTTTCTCTCTCTCCCCCACTGTGTTCGCGCTGCTCACTCTCTCCATCCTCTCTTCTCTATTTACTAAGCTCCCTCTCGATTTATCGATCCACTACAAGAAAATGCACTCTCAGCGACCACTTTATCTCTCTCTCGCTCATCACTCTGTCTGTCTGTCTGTCTCTCCTCTATCTGTCTCTTACTCATCTCTCTCTCTCTCTCTCTCTCACCACTCATCTCCTCTACCACCTTCATCACTATTGCAAACGTCATTCCACTACCACTACTATTACCACTGTCGCCCCTTCATCCCTACGACTACCATTACTACTACCATCGCCACCGCTCCACAACCACCACTGCCACTACTGCCACTACTACTACTATTATCTCTTCTTTACCCGTGCCACTCCATCTACTCTACCATTACCACAACATCACCACTAATCTCCTTCGCCATCACCGCCACCACCACCACCACCACCATCTCTTATCCACTACCTTTACCACTACTGTCGTTTCCTCTCCTCTACCACAAAAAATTAGTTCATGATTTTTAGTAACCAAAAAAAATGAGCCGCAGAAAAATATTTTTCATTGACCAAAGAAAATAAATTTTTATTTTAGTGAAAAATATTTTTTATTAAAATATTACCCCCACTTCTACCAAATAAAAAAAAATTCATTAAAATAAAAATAAAACAAATAAATTTTCAACCTTAGTAACTAAAAAAAATTGAAAAAAAAATAAAATTCATTAACTACAAAAATAAAAAAATAAAAAATAAAATTATTTTAACAAAAAATAAATAAAACTACCGCCTATCCTAACCCTCCTTTTTTTTTTTCTTCTTTTTATTTTCGTTTTCCCGCTCTTTCTAATTCCCTCATTTCTTTCCCCCCTTTGTTTCTCACGATTTCATCAAATCCCCAATCCCTAACAAAAAAATCCCCAAAATACGATATTATAGGGAGGGAGAGAGAGAGAGAGAGAGAGAGTTGATCGGAGATTCTCAAAAATGGCGAACCATCACTTCGTGTACAAGGACGTGGAAGGAGCTCTTACCCCTCTCTCTCTCTCTCTCGATCGACGGCGAGCGGCAGCAGACGACGGAGAGCGACAGACGAGAGTGAGCGGCGGCAGACGACGGAGAGCAGCAAACAAGGCTGTTGTGTGAATAGAAAGGGCTCCGATTCTTCTCCGTAAGATTTATGTCTTGAATTTTTATGGGTATTTATCATAGACATTTCTTATATTTGTCTGCGTGAAAATAATGTGTTCTCTTGTATGTAAGTGGATTGTTTTTGGGTGACTATGGTGTGAATAAAAATCCTACCTGTTCTCTCATTTCCCTTTCACTGCTCAAATCTTTCATTTGTGTGCCATTTCCTTCTACTTATTGTAAATATAAACTTATTTAGTGACACATTATTAAGTTTGTTTGAGTAGACATTTCCTTATGCTCATAGCCATTTCTTTCTGCTTATTGTAAATCTTTCATTTCCCGCAGTTGTTATTGATGATTCAAATTCTAGGGTTGTGGTCCATAAGAAAAAGTACAAGTTTTTGACGTGGAATCACTGTAAGCATGATGAAAATATCATGTAATGTGAAGTTGAGGTTGGGAGCTGATGTTACCCAATGACATTTAGGAACTCTGGCATTCCCTTTGAAATCTTTCTTCTAATTATGGTGGTCATTGTCAAGACTCTCCTCTATCAGCTTATTTAGAAATCCTGATTCTTTAGAAGTTGGGTTTTTGCGCATCTGTTAGCAGGTGCTTGGAAAATGCTATTGAATATTGAATCATTGATAACCTCATTGCTGGAAATAGACAGACCAGTTGATGCTTGCTCACTTTGAAAATGTGCACAGTATTGTAAATCTTATCTGTTGCTATTGTTGTCTAAATTGTGCAGTACTTTTTTTAGCTAGTATTTGGTCACTTTGAAAAGATTAGAATAAGATGAGTTCTCTGGCATAGAATTAGAGATTTATTCTTACGGATTCTTGAGTCATTAATTTAGTGCCCTTTTTGGTCTCTGCCACAATTGATAGACATTGGCCTAAATGTCAATTGGACATTGTGTACACATTTTACAACTTTTGCATGCATGCTTCTAGTTTTAACATGAATTTATGTCCAAAGGAAAAATTGATAAAATGTTGTAAAAAAGATTACTAGATGATCAAAATATTTATTGTTTTTGTTTGACATATGGGTGGAAGCAATTATACGAAGATAGTGTAAATTTTGTTTAGCACTATATTTATCCCTATGAATATGTTAAATTGTGGTGTATGCATATGCTGCATAGTTATTATTTTATTGGTTATACGGTAGTGTTTCTTCATTTTATTAATGGTGTTTCTTCACCTATCATCTGACAGTTCTTTACCCTTTTATTTAGAGAACTGCATCTTCAGGTAGCTTTGGATCATTTGACAGCAATTCTATGTCTCTCAAGTCAGTTAATTCAGTTTGTTTAGTGGATATGGCCTCAGAATCTGAGCAATCTGGGACCAACCAGGATAAACAATATGTAGTTTATCTCTTCTTATTTTTGTTTTACATTTTCTATGCAAAATTAAAATTGTTTTGAGCATTAAAGAGTAGGTAACCCACTTTCCTGACTTTGTTTGTGCAATATTTGAGAATGACCGGCAATACCTCATCAATGGTAGGCCTGGGAGAGCAGTGGATTTTTAGTTTGCTTTCCAGAAACACAGGCATTAGTTTACTTCTTGTAGCTCATACATGCTCAAAGCCTACTCTGCATAGTATAGAGTTTGTATATTACCAATTCAGTCCAAGTTTTCTGTTTGGTAAGGTGACATTTATTTGAGATGTTGAGAGCTTTTGGTCTTTTGTTTGTTTCATTGGTGGCAACTTATTTTCTCTTGACTTATTGTGAATATTTTCTTCATTTTTTGCCGATTTTGTTGACTTACTTTATTAATTAGTATTTTATCATATAACAATACATAGATTAGGACTTCTTTTCTACTTGATGTCACTAAATTTGCTAGAACTGGATTTTATTCTTAAGAAACAAACTAGTTTCTTAAGAAAATTAAAATTGGAGGTGTTAACATCCCAAAATCACCAAACGGCGTCGGAGTAGCATGAAACTTGGCACAAACGACCGCCTATACACGACAGACTTGTGGGAAAAGCTGAGACTCGAATCGGATTTCTCGTTTGGGAGTTAGAGCTAGATTTCACTCTAGGTAAACTAGTTTTTTAAGAAACTTAGAATTCGAGGTGTTAATGCCCCAAAATCACCAAACAGCGTCAGAGTAGCACGAAACTTGCCACACACGACCGCCTAGGCACGAGAGACTTGTGGGAGAAGACGGGACTTGAACCGGATTCCTGATTTGGGAGTTAGAGTTGGATTTCACTATAGGCAAACTAGTTTTTTAAGAAATTTGGAATTCGAGGTGTTAATGCTCCAAAATCACCAAACGGCGTTGGGGTAGCACGAAACTTGGCACACACGACCCCTAGGCACGAGAGACTTGTGGAAGAAGACGGGACTCGAAACGGGTTCCCAGTTTGGGAGTTAGAGCTGGATTTCACTCTAGATAAACTAGTTTCCTAAGAAACTTAAAATTCTAGGTGTTAATTCCCCAAAATCACCAAACGGCATCGGATTAGCATGAAATTTGGCACACACAACCGCCTTGGCACGAGAGACTTGTGGGAGAAGACATGACTCAAATAAGGTTCCCGGTTTCGGAGTTAGTGCTGGATTTCACATTTAAGAAACAAACTAGATTCTTAAGAAACTTAGAATTTGAGGTGTTAACATCCCAAAATCATCCAACGGCGTCGGAGTAGCACGAAACTTGGCACACACGACCGCCTCAACATGAGAGACTTGTGGGAGAATACAAGACTCAAATAAGGTTTCTGGTTTGGGAGTGAGAGCCGGATTTCACTCTCAAGAAACAAATTAGTTTCTTAAGAAACTTAAAATTCAAGGTGTTAATGTCCCAAAATCACCAAACGACGTCGGAGTAGCATGAAACTTGGCATACACGACCGCCTAGGCATGAGAGACTTGTGGAAAAAGACGGGATTCGAATCGGATTCCCGGTGTGAGAGTTAGAGCTGGATTCACTCTAGGCAAACTAGTTTTTTAAGAAACTTAGAATTCAAGGTGTTAATGCCCCAAAATCATCAAACGGCATCGGAGTAGCGTGAAACTTGGCACACACCACCGCTTAGGCACGAGAGACTTGTGGGAGAAGACGGGACTTGAAACGGATTCCCGGTTTGGGAGTTAGAGCTGGATTTCACTTTAGCCAAACTAGTTTCTTAAAAAACTTAAAATTTGAGGTGTTAATGTCCCAAAATTGCCCAAACGGTGTCAGAGTAGCACGAAACTTGGTACACATGATCGCTTAGGCACGAGAGACTTGTGGGAGAAGACGGGACTCGAAATGGGTTCCTGGTTTGAGAGTTAGAGTCGGATTTCACTCTAGACAAATTAGTTTCTTAAGAAATTTAGAATTCGAGGTGTTAATGCCCTAAAATTACCAAATGGCGTCGAATTAGTACGAAACTTGGCACACATGATCGCTTTGGCACGAGAGATTTGTGGGAGAAGACGTGACTCGAATCGGGTTTTTGGTTTGGGAGTTAGAGTCGGATTTCACTCTAGGCAAACTAGTTCTCTAAAAAACTTAGAATTCAAGGTGTTGACACCCCAAAATCACCAAACGGCGTCGGATTAGCACGAAACTTGGCACACACGACCGCCTTGGCACGCGAGACCTGTAGGAGAAGATGGGACTCGAATCGGGTTCCCCGTTTGGGAGTTTGAATCGGATTTCACTTTAGGTTAACTAGTTCTTTAAAAAACTTAGAATTCGAGGTGTTAAGTCCCAAAATCATCAAACCGTGTTGGATTAGCATGAAACTTGGCACACACGACTGCCTTGTCATGACAGACTTGTAGGAGAAGGCAGGACTCGAATCGGGTTCTCGGTTTGAGAATTAGAGTCGGATTTCGGTCTCGGCACAATTATTTACTTAATTATCTTTGTAATTGTATAGTAGTTAAATTTTTATGTTTTTTTTTGTAATTAACATATTAACACATAATTATATTGTCATTAATTATTTTTATTTTTTTTCTAGATATTTCTGAAGTAAGAGTTTGTTTCTTGTGGATTTCATGCCTGTGAAGAATGCCACTAATTTTTCTTTTTGTACCACGGAGAACGCTGAGGAAAAATTTAATTTTGGTTTATGTTATTTTGAATTATGAATAACATTATGTATTTAAACATTATATATGTATTATGGAACATTATATACTGTGGTAATTTTGTTGATGTATAATTATGAATGTAAGAATATGTTTATTATGGAGAAATTGTTATTTCTATATAGGAATTTTTATATTATTATGCAATTATTAGTTTCTTTTTAAATTATTTTTCATTGAATACATGCAATTTTAATATTTTTAATTTACAGTAGGGTTTTTTTTTTTTTCTTTTTTTTTTTTTGCGATGACACCTAACCGTCGCAAAAAACTTGTATTTTTTTTATTTTTAATAATTATTGCATTTTTTGTGACGGCACCACATCGTCGCAAAAAATCAAAACCTTTTTTTGGCAACATATTCAATGCCGTTGCAAAAAGAAATATGCCGTCACAAAAAAAAAAAAATTTGCGACGGCAATTTCTGCAGTCTCAAATAAAACTTTTGGCGACGGTAAAACAGAGTTGTTGCAAAAGGTCTCTATTTTTATACATTAATAGTGACAGTAAAATGCCGTCGTAAATAGTAGCATATGTCGTCGCAAAAAAAAGGTGACGGCATGATGCCGTTACTAAAAAGTTTTTGCAACGCCCTCTATTGTGACCCTCCGTTTGCCGTCGTTAAAAGTCATTTGAGACACCATGATGAGTATTTGCGACATTATTTTGCCGTCGCAAAAATCAAATTTTTTGTAGTGACAGACGATTTAAAAAGTGAGTTAGTTTGGTAAATAGTTTAAAATTTTGGTTATTTACATAAATAATTTAATTTTTTTGAAATATTCACAAAAAAAAAAACTCCAGTTTACAATTTTAAAAAATATATTTTTAAAACTTTTCAATCATATTTTTGTAATTTTAGTATTTTTAAAAATATTTTAAATAAATTTTTTTAAAACCTTTTAGATTCACTTAATTTGATGTAATTAAAAAGTATTAAATTTATACAATTTTTTTTAAAAAAAAATTCATTGAATACAACAAAATATAAAAATGTATTGAACTTTTGCATTTTTTGTATTTGGTAACTGTTTTTTAAAAATAAATTACAAATATTATACTTTTTAAATCTATCTTGATTAGATATATCTAAAAAAAAAAATGTAAAATATTAAAATAAATCACTAAAAATAAAAAAAAAGCAAAAATCAAATTATTCAATTTTCAAAAAAAAAAAAGAGATAACAATGAAAAAGTCATAAAATTTTATTCTTATAGATCAATTATTAAAATTCTTTTTCATACAATTTAAAATAATCGTTTTCAAATATATTAATTTTTTTGAAAAAATAACCTATCAATGTCAACTTTAGAAGGTGATTACCAATTTATGAAAAAATTTATAATTTTAATTAGTATTATTATTATTATCTATTTGTAACTATTTTTGTAAACTTATACTAATCTTAGTTCAAAAAAACAAAAAAAAAAAATTATACAAAAAAAAAAAAAAAAATATACTAATCTAAAAATTTACCAATTTTTTTCGACTCATGAAAAAGTCAAAAATTAAGGTTACTGGGGCACGAACATGTAGCATCGTAACTTAATTTATTGGTTAAACAATGAGATTATTGGTTATATTTTGTTTGTTTTTGTATTTTTTAAATGTTAAAAATTAATTTGGTGAAACCAAACATTAGAAAGATATTTTTGAATTTTTTATAATAATTATTGCATAAAACATAATATGAAAAAGATTTTTTTTTAAATTTTTTATTATTTTCACACTAGAAAGATATTTTTGATTTTATAAACATAATTATTGCATAAAAAATTAATATAAAAATGACAAATTGTTTTTTAAAACTTTTTTTATTATTTTCTCACCAAAATAATTTTTAATATTTTTCAAATAACTAGATTGAAGCATAGCAAACCTAAGTGATAATTTTTTTATTTTTTTTTCAAGAAACAACAAACAAATGTCACAAATTGAATAATAAGAAATATTTTACGATTACCAAATAACCTCTCTATTAAAGTCTATTCATGGCACAAATAATTTTTCATTTGTTATCGAGAAATTAGTCTAAACATAATTGATATTTATTGGGAATTATTTTGTTGTTTTGTTTTATTTTTATGTGAATTTATATAATACAAGTAAATAAATATAATTTATTATAATTAGAATATAATAAAACATACAATGATAAAGAATTTTGATAAAAATATTTTATTGTGATGTCAACATTTTTATCTTTAGTTAAAAATGTCAAGTGAAAAAATTAAAAAAAATTTATATATAAATTAAATTTGATGAAACACTCTACTAAATAAAATTATTTATAAGAATATTTGATATTAACTCAATTTAATTTTTTTAATTTACAAAAATTATATACTATTAATTTATTTTTTGCTAGATTCTCTAAAATAGTAGGGGGAAAAAAACTTAAAATCTTTTTTCACATTCTTTTGTTGAGTTGAATGGAGTTATATAAGAAATCAAAAACATTATGACAGTCATGAGTAACATTATTAAACGAGTTATTCATATCAATTTAGTATCATACAGGTTCGATGCTAACTTAACCTATTTATTATTCATGTTATTAGGTTGTGTTATATATGTATTCGTGTCGAAAAATAGTGAATTATAACTCACTAACTTCGTATATAATTGTGTTATATTGAAAATTTTCACCTTTACTTCAAATACAAAGGAATAAAAGGAATTGTTAGCCTTCTCTCAAATTCAAATATATACTTGTGAGAGCTTGGGGGCCCATGGTTCGATAGCCCATCTAACTTGCCCAGTCCAACTCAGTATTTTTAGGACTTGAGAAAAATATTTAACTCGTTGGGTTTCCATTTAATTTTCGGGTTGGGTTTAGGGTAATAGTTTTAACCTAGCCTGACTTGACCTGCCTATTTATAAAATATTAATTTTAAATTTTAATTTTATATTATTTAGTTACAAAATAAACTAGAAAGATAAAAAAATACGTATATATTTTTTAGAGCTTAAATTAAAATATTTTTTAAAAGATCATATCCATTTAACAATTGAATTTTTTTAATGTTCCAAATTAAAATAATTATTAAAAAGGTCAAAATAATTTAATTATCCTTTCAAAATGAAAGAAGATAAAATTAATAGCTTATATATATTAGATTAAGTGAGCAGCCTTGAGATTTAGAAATTGTTTTAAGAGCACACTTGAGATGAATAAGTTAGGCCCAATATTGGATCAAGTCGGTTTGAGATGACACGCATACTTTTACTAAATAGCGCCAACCTAATTTGAACCCATCCTATCCCAAAATTTGTCCACTCCTACATGAAACTCATTACGAGTCCTGTTTTGATATTTCAAATCATTTATTTTGTAAGAATTTTCGTATATATCATTCAAAAAAAAAAAAAGGTCAAATATATTTTTAAAAATATATTTGTCATCTAGTTTTTCAGAATCAAACATGATAAGATGAAAAATATTACGATTATCTAATTAAACCAATTTGTTTCATAAATAATATACATCAATAATCCTATAAAATGAAGGGTAAATTACACTTTGCCTCATTTATGTTTGACTAATTTTTCACTTTGGCACCTAAAATTTATTTTTTCCCACTTTAATCCTTTATGTTTTAAATTTTTTTCACTTTACTCTTAAATGTTAAAAATTAGACAAAAAATGACACATTGACAGTTATGTGACATACAAAATATTTTATTATATATGACTCATATCTCTAACATAAACTTAAACTCTAATATAAAAATATATTTTATGTTATATGACAATTATTGTGGCATTTTTTTTTTCTAATTTTGAACAAAAATTAATTTTAAAAGTAAATTAAAAAAAACTTAAAATATAAAAGGTCAAAATATGAAAAAATAAATTTTAAGTGTCAAAGTAGAAAAGTGACCAAATATAAAAGGATAAAATATAATTTATCCTAAAATAAATAAGTTGAGTCATTACAACACAATCCATAAAAGTACATGCAACACTTACTCAAATTTTCATCAAATTTGAATAAAAGTTTGATTTGATACGTTGTGCTTCAATTATTTCATTAAATTTGACCGGTTGTCCGGCTTAGAATAAATTTTCAGCAAAACTTCTCAAAGTCAATGTAACGCCCTCAAAATAAACTATAAATCATACATTCTTAACATGATTAGACATAAGAGAGTAAAACATTATTTCATTCATCAGAGTATTCATTTCAAAAGTATTACATGTTGACATCAAAAGTAAATGCCGTACAAGCTTACAACTTTCCCAGCCAACACTTGGTTACAAAAGAAGAGAACTAACTCTTAATACAAAATAAGCCATTGGCTTGATTTACATGTAATACACAATTAATCAAAAAAAGGAAGCTTTCAGCTCCCACAACCTCCCAAGCTACATCCTTGAAGGCGGCATGTCACCTGTACTTGAAAATAATATCCCATATAGGGTGAGTCAACGCCCAATAGAGATATGCTAAACATAATATGGGCAATAACTAAAACATTAGCCTTTGATAATGGTTTAATTGATAAAAAAAAAATATACGGTACAATCCAGTTCCATAATCCTTTACTTATCAAATTCTCAACTTATAAACACGGCTCAGAACCTGGCCAAACAACTTAAATGAGACTACATCTCATGCCAACAATACTTCAAACTGCCATTTTACGGAGATTGCGTCCGCGGGATTCGACACCCATGTATAACTATTTTCTAGTTGCCATTTTACAGAAATTCCGTCCGCGGGACTCGACACTCATGTATAAATATTTTCGAATTTTCCATTTTACAGAAATTTTATCCGCGGGACTCAGCACCCATGTCTAATATTTTCAAATTTGCCATTTTACGGAAATTTCATCCGCGGGACTCGGCACCCATGTATTCGAATACATATCATATACAATGACCAATCAATACACATATTCGCTGTATTATTCCAACCGTCATACGCAATGACATACTCAAATTGATTAGTTTTAATTCACCTAATCATCATGCAGTGTCTACAACAATCAAGACTATTCTTCACCGATATCGCAAAACAGTTATTTCTAAACAGATAATAAATGCATCAACAGATAAATTATCAACAATTCTCAAAGGTGAGTGATTATTAAATCCGACTCCACCATTCTACTACATAATGAGCCAATTTCATTATTCCCAACTCAATTTCATATTTCCATAACATTTCCAAATTAATTATATAAATTAATTCATGCAACAATTTAGGGCTTTCTCCCCATTTTTCTCTACAATGACCCAAAGGTCCCATATATCATCAACAACAACAATACCATCATTTTATGACCCAAGATACACATTTATGAGTCAAAATAACCAAACCCCTCTTTATTCATTTTGAAACCCTAACACCTAAAATTACCCAACTTCAACATTACATCAAAATGACCAATAGTTTATGTCAAAGACCATAAAAATGAGTAGTTATCCCTACCTCAAATTCGGAGCTCAAAGAAGGAGATGAAGAAATTTGGAAGTGCTCCAAACCCCAATATTTTCGGATCAAAATGTAGCTCTCAACAAGTTCCACACTTTTTACAAAGGCCCAAGGATAGAAGATCACTCCTACTAGATCAAACCCTAGAGAGAAGTTGGAGTTTTAGAGTGAGGTGCTCTCCAATAGAGGTTTTGAAAAAGTAGGAGAGAGAAAGAAAGTCAAAAAGTGATCCAAAATGTCACTTTTTGGACTGATATAAGAGTCACCCTGCTCGAGCGTGGAACTCCCCGCTCGAGCGTCAGACACAGACTCATGCTCGAGTGTCAAAAGCGCAGCTCGAGCGCCGGATGCACACTTCCAGAAGTTTTGTAGACCATGGTCCCCGCTCGAGCGGAGGAACAAAATCAAAAGGGCCCGCTCGAGCGTCAAAACTCCCGCTCGAGCGTACGACGACCTGCAGAGAAAAATACTGGGAGATGAATATTCACGCTCGAGCGTCAAAATGCCCGCTCGAGCGGAGAAGCAAAAAAAAAGGGCCCGCTCGAGCTTCAAAGGGCCCGCTCGAGCGTCAAAAGCACCGCTCGAGCGTGAAGGCCAAAATTTGAGCAACAACCTTTGGTTTCTAAACACAACCAACCTGTTCCAAACCTGCCCAATACAACCCAAGACTCAAATACAAAGAGTAAAGAATGAAAATGAGAATAAGACAACAACATAACCACGGAACCAAGTTCGGAACACAACAAACAAAGGAAGGGAAAACTGGGATCGCTATAGTCAATCATCCACCTGGTTGTCTCGGCCCATCTTCATTAATTTGATGAAAAATTGAACCTCACTTTTAGTTGATATGGATTTAATGTTATAATTAAAACAAAAATTTTTATTTTTATTAAATTTAAATTTGATGATATAAGTTGATGCGTAAGGATGACAATTTGAACCCGGCCCGACGGGGACCCGACCCCCCGACCCTGATTAGAACGGGTTTTTCCTGAAAATTATCTCCATAAGGCTGGGGATGGTATTGAAAATTAAATCCTCGATAGTTTTCGGCCCGGGGACGGGGATAGGTTCCCCCGGCCTCGCCCCGAGTAATACCCGAGCATCCCCGTATATATATATATATATATTTAGGGTTGAATCTCATTTTCATTTCAGCCTCACTGTTGATTCATTTCTCTCTCTCTCTCCCTCCCTCCCTTCCCTCCACCGCCGATCTTCTTCACTCGCCACCAATCTCCTCTCTCAGCATCTCTCTCTGTCTCTCTCTCTCTCTTTCTCCCTTTCACTCCATTAATCTACTTTTTCCTCTATCACCGTCGTTTCCAAAGGCGATCCCGCCACCACTGTCGTTTCCAAAGGCGATCCCGCTACCATCGTCTACAACTTCTCCATTGTTGCCTCTTTTTCTCTCAGTTTCGAGCACTCTTAGAGAAGGTGAAGACGGAGCAAATCGATCCGAGATCTGAGTTTTGTAGATCTGAGATCTGAGTTTCACTGCTATTTATCTCTCTGTTTGTTAATGTCACTTTTTATCTCTCTTTATCTCACTGTTTGTTGTTGATGTTGATGATGATCAGATGAAACAAATTGTAGTTGTAGCTGTTGTAGTTGTTGTTGATGATGTTGATGTCGATCCGACGATCTCGGTTTGTCTTTTTTTTTTTTTTTTGAAGCGGGGAATTTCGAGGTCGGAGATACCCGATCCCCGTTAGGAGATCGGGGCGGGGATGGTGATAGGTCCCCCATCGGGAATCGGGGCCGGGGACGAAGACATTGTTACCATCGGGGATCGGGGACGGGTAGTATGATCCCCGGCCCGACCCGTTGCCATTCCTATTGATGCGAGCCATTCAAATTCTCTGTACCCAAACAGAGTGGAACAGTGCCCTACCTATTTGCAAAAGTTCCTCTACATCTGGACATCGCTGCCCATAACGTTAGGGACCATCGCCCTACACATTCAGGTGTGTTTGGTTTGTGTTTTGAGATAATTTTTTTTAAAAAAAATTGAGGAGAGAGTTTAAGGTTGCGTTTGGTAGAACTTTCTAAGTATAATTTGAGTGTAAGAGCTGTATTTTGAGTTTGTGAGTTTTAAAATTATGATTTGAGTGTGCAAAATTTGTTTAGTAAAAGAGTTTTGAAAAGAGTTTTGAATTGAGTGGAGAATTTTTGATGTGTCATATGATATTTGATACAAAAATTTATAATTTATAACCAAACATACAACTCAAAATTCTATTAAAGCATATAAAAAAAATTTAAAAATTCAAAAAATATGTTTTTCGAATATATAAAAATTAACATATGTCAATTGCAAAAAAAAAAAAAAAAAAATTATTATTTTATACTATTCCGGTCAACCGGCCGGACGACAGGTGGGACGTCCGGTGAGACGACCGGTTAGTCCAAATTTTTTCGCTTTCGACTGCGTTTTTAAAAGTGAGTGTGGAATTATAATTTGAAACATTTAAACAAACATCATATGCAAAATAAGCTCTGGAACGTTAGTTAACGTTCAAGAGCTGTACCAAAGAAAGCCTAATTTTTTTTTTTTAGTTTATTTGATTGTATATTTTAAAAATAATTTTGAAGTTGTGGAGTTTGGGATGATTTGATATTTTGGGGTGTTTGGCAAGGGCTTTTTTTGGGTTTTTTGGGTTAAAATTCACAAAAAAGACAAAATGTTATATTAAACCCATAAACATTTAATTTTTTTTCTCACAAACATTACACATCCAATTACAAAAAAATCGAACTATCTTTCCAAACACAAAAATTTTAACCTACTAAAATAATAAAAAAAACTAAAATGGCCTACTAAAATAGAAACTTCCCAAACACTCACTTTATTTAATTGAGTAGATGAGAGTCGTTCAAAAAAAGTGATTGAGAGTCATTCAAAATGTATGTGAGAAAAAAGTGATTGAGAATGAGAGATGAGAGAAGTTAAAAAAAAAAAAAAAAAGAATAAGAGATGAGAGAGTAAAAGTGATTGATTGATTTATAAGAGAGAGAAAATGATTTTAAATTTTTTTTTAAAAAACTTTGAAACAAACAAAATTTTAAAAAAATTTCTCAAAAATTATATCTTGAGATACAAACCACACAAATCCTCAAATTCTCTGTACCCAAACGGAGTGGAACAGTGCCCTACCTGTTTGCAAAAGTTCCTCTACACCTGGACATAGCTGCCCCTAACTTCGGGACCACCGCCCCAAACTCTGTTTGTCTCCTAGGCCCTGTTTGTTTTGAGGTCAAATAGATGGGAGGGAATTAGGATGGAGGTGAGGTTATTTAATGTTGTGTTTGGTTGTAGAGTTAGGGAGGAGATTAAGATGGAGGAGGTGATATAGATGAATGTTGGAAGGAGGATTGAGATTGAGGAGGTGAAGATGGTATTAGAAAAATAGTGAAGGGATTAGAAATTTTTTTATTTTTTATATATTGAGATTTTTTTTAAAAATATTAATATTTAATTTTTTATATTTTTTTATTTGTTTTATTATCTTATATAAAAATAATTTAACAATTTCTATACTAACAATTATTATCAAAATAAATATAATTTTATTTAATTATCTCATTATTAATCCTTTCATTGTACTTCTCATTTTCATTGTACCTCTCAAAACAAACGGAACTTAAATTTTAGGGACGTTTGGCCCGTGTACATACCCACAATGGGCTTTCTTGGTGGTTGCTTTCTTCTTCTTGTACTAGTTGTAGGACCCTTCAAATCTGCCACAGGAAACAACAAATAGTAGTGAGAAAGACCTCGATGCATCGGTATCTCCCGGAACACCCTTCATCTCTCTCTCCCCCCTCCCTATCTCTCTCTCTCTCTCTCTCTCTCTCTCTCACTATACTACACAGATTCCCAATCCTCCACTACACTCTTCTAGATCTCTCTCTTCTCTCTTACTGTCTCTCACTGACTCCTCAATTCTCAAGTAATACCATTACACCATATTCTTTCTTGTTGTTTGAGCAATCGAGTAAGCATCATCTCTCTCTCTCTGGTTCTAGTTTTTAGTCTATACCCATAAAACTCAAAACCATGATTTACCCATTAGTTCCTAATGGAAACCCATTAACCCCAATAAACTTAGCAATCCAAAACTCCTCACAAAGATCATTTTTTTCTTTCTTTTCTCACAATCAAAACCCCAAAAACACCGTCGACAATCCCTTAAGACCCAAAACTTACCTCCTCAAACCCGTCACAATAACTCCAAATCAAGTCCCTCCCAATAAAACCCAGAAAAACAGGGTACATGAGGAGAGAAGAGGTTTTTCTCAAGTGGGTAGTCAGCAGATGTTGGTTTTGTGTGGATTTGGGTACTGGGTACAAGGTTTTAGGGGCTTCCCTTGGCTGGCTCTCAACTTCCACATGGCCCACAATCTCAATTTACATCCATCAACATTGCAGCTTGTGCAGAACACAGCTAACCTCCCTATGGTGATAAAGCCTCTCTATGGAATCTTGTCTGATGCTCTTTATATTGGTGGTGATCACAGAATACCTTATATTTGTATTGGAGGTTAGTTGAATCCCCCAAATACACTTGTTAGTCATTTTGGTTATACTAGCTGAAATTGATTTTTACCATAATGAGTTTGTTTTGTTCTTGTTATATTCTAAAAAGGATAATATTAATGATTGTTCAAAAGGTAATCATTATCCCCTGTCAATATTTGTAGTGAAATATGTAGAAAATGTGTATAAACAAATGTTATACTAATTTATAAATCTTACTAATTTTCAAAATTAGAATAAGACCTACTTCAATAATATGGTATAGATGTCATATCAGTTAGTAAGAAAAATTGGCAATGTTTGGAACACAAAATAAATCACATAGTATCTCCAATTCTTCACCTTGTCTTTCATAAAATTTAAATTTGATGAAAAAGAGCTTAAAAATGATCTCCAATCATTTCATCAAATGTTTATCAAATCAAGGAGAGGCATTTTTTTTTTTTTTATCAAATTGAGAACTCTTATCAAATCTTTCATGAAAATTTTTAAAGATGAAGGAAGCATTGGAAATGATTTTTTTCCCCTATCAAATTTGATGAAAAGGGAAATTTGGGATAAAAGAAGAATTTTTAAAAAGATTTTGATAAAAATTTGATGAAAGGATTGGAGTGGTTCATATCAAATGAAGCTTTTTACTCAAATTTGGAATCAAATTAGACGAAAAAACTGGTGAAGGGTTGGAGATGCTCTATTACTTCACAAAAAATACAATGGAAGGTTGGCATTAAACCCAGTTATGGAAGGATCCACATGAAGAATAAATCTCAGTTTTATTTATCACAAAAAAAGAAAAAAGAAAAGAATAAATCTCAGTTTATCAATACGCTTTCTGTGACCCAATCTGTGTTCTAATTCTGTGTTCTTCGCATTAGTGAGGAAAAATTTATAAGATTTATTATTTTGTTTAGCATTGCTCATATAAAATATGTAAAATTATTTGAGGATGCTTGAATAGTGCATTATAGTTCTAACTATTTTGGCATTGTCTCTGTCTTATTGTACGCCCATAGGGCTGTCGTTAACATGACATTTTAGAAATTTAGTATTTGGAGCTGTTTTCTCATTGAATGTTTACATTGCTGCTGAACACTCTGATGCTTTAGTTTGCTTTGATAGCCTTAAACTGGGGGTTGAATATGTTCTTGCTCTTTTCTCTGTTTTGGTCTCTGTGGTTTGATGTTATTACACCTTTTTACCTTTGACTTCATATGCTAACTTCTTGTTAAAATAGTTATGTCAATAGAAAATTGCATGTTTAAGGTAGATGCCAACTTTCAGATTTGCCATCAATAGAAATAGTTTGAGAAAATTTGACCTGTTTTAAAATAGTAGTCTTTGTAGTAAAGAGCAAGCAACAACTCTTACTTTTTTTGGCCTTTTATTTGTGACTTTGCTTAATTTACCGGGAAGTTTAAGATCAAGTCTTAATAAAATTTATTAGAGTACAATGTACATAATCAAGTTGAGAGAAGTCAATTTGCATTGTTATAGCAAGTATTGGGAGTTCAAAAATGCTCTAGAAGCTTAATTCAGTTTGGCATTTAAAATTCAATGCTTCATTGAAAACTTTGATTATGTCATAATTAAATTTACATTCAAACTTAAATGTTTTGCACGTATTCCCGGATGTTGTGTTCTGCATTTAAAAAAAGAAGTTGTGTGTTCTTGTTAGCCCACTCCAATCATGGCATACCTATTTCTGATTGTAAACAATATCAAGATTCATACAAGCTGTGAAAATCAAATCCTCATTCTAGACAGATTTAGGACATTAAAAGATCTGATAAGTTGGATCTTTTGCGCATTTTCAGATCAAAGAGCAATGCTGAATTGATTTCATGAATCTGTCTTGCTTGATAAACAACCCACCAGTTGACCAATGTGATGCATACACTGATACCAATCACACTCTTACAGTCATTTTGATGGCAATTAGCGAAGAAACCCTCTGTCACCCTCTTACTTGGATTGTAGCTTCGATTGCCGTTGTCCCAGTCTTGTTGGGTTCAATCTTTTGCTACCAAACACAATGCCTAAATCTCGACCCTTCAATAGTTGGGATGTCGCGAGTGACTGGCCAATTGATGCTTCTTTCCATAACTTTAATCTATGACCGTTTCTGGAAAAGCATTTCCATGAGAAAACTAATCGGTATAGTCCAAATTCTATACGCTTCTTCGCTTCTTCTTGACCTCATGTTAGTGAAGCAGATCAATCTGAAACTGGGAATTCCAAATGACGTGTTTGCCCTTTGTTTTTCGGGTTTAGCAGAAATCATTGCACAATTTAAAGTCTTGCCATTCCTAGTGCTTTTTGCAAGTTTGGCTCCAACAGGTTGCGAAGGTTCTCTCATTTCTTTCTTGGCCTCGGCATTGTGTTTATCATCAATTGTTAGCGGGTTTTTGGGCATTGGATTGGCTTCTCTTCTTGGAATAAGATCAGGTGATTACTCAAGCCTCCCTGTGGGAATTCTGATACAGTTTCTTGCAGCTTTAGTGCCACTGGGATGGATTTATAACGTCCCGTCGTTTCAACCTATAGCTGTGAAGGAAAATAAGAGAGGTAGGAGTAAAAGAACTCGACGAAATAGAAGGGTTGGAAGAGTTGGTTTTGATTCAGTTTATGACTACAGGAGAGAACGAGAATCTGAGGCACAGAAGTGAAAGGTCTGGTTTTGATTCAAGCAGTTTTAGAGAACACTGGTCAAAGAAAGTTCTCCGAAGAAAACAGTTTTAGAAAACATTTTGAAGAAAGTAGTTGGTGCATCATTTTGAATTTTGATTGCTGTTGTAAAAGAATTACCTCCCAATTTGTCAGTTGAAGATATATGGGCCTAGATTTTCAGTCCAGCGAGAAATCTCTAAATTCTCACATTCCAAGTGCGATCACTCACAGAAAAGTACCTCGAAAATGAAATGTGTGGATAAAGATTTATTCTGGTTGATACATTTCATTTTTGGGGTACTTTTTTGAGGTAGCAAAATTCTTGAGACCTTCTGGGAACGAGCAGCATCTGAGGTCTCTCAAGAGGACAGTAGCTAAAAACAATTCTCATAGGATCAACAGTGGATCTGATTCAGGCATCAAACTGAGATTTTTCATCGAAATTTTTTTCAGTGGTCTCGATTCCTGAGTACTACAATGCGAGGTGCAAAAGTGGCTGCATGGATGGGTCAACTTTGTCCTTCGCCCAACCAATTAATGAAGGTAAGATCGACTTCGCTCATTTCGTGACTTTCATATTCTTGCTCCATTTTGTTGATATTTGTACTGGGTCAAGTGTTATTTCAAGTTGGGTATTTATTATTTGGGTCCTGTAACCCTAAGGCACAAGTAAAGGACAAAAGATGTAGAAACTCTAGGACAATTATCACTAAATTTAATACACTTTTGATGAATTTTAAAATGCTTTTTAATTTTTTTTTTTACACTTTTTCAACATTTTTTTTCTCACATTTCTAATATTAGCACTTGTTAGCATTTACCTTATTATTTTTCTAAATAAAATAAATATTATAAATCAAATCTGAACAAAACAAATCATTATCAAACATAATAATAGAATAATGTATGTGTATAAAAGTATATGTCCAACAATTTAAACTAATTTGGTTATACATGCCAAAGAAAATACCTAAAAAATTATTGTTTAAATTGTGTGAACTAGATTTATTATGCGTGTGATTTACAAAACATTAAATTTGAATCTACACTATACACACACTTTCTAATTAAATTTTGAGTTCCAATCCTTTATGTGATCAAATTGAGAACAAACCTTTAGTTAGATTTATGATTTCATACCAAATCAAAGTTAGTCCAAATATTTGGATAGACTTGCCAAATTATTAAATCATGGCCGGCTAGGTGGTTTGCCAAACTTTGTCAAATATATATTTAGACAGTTTTAATCCACCATATGTGCCTACTATACTTGACAATTTTTGGTTGGTTCAAGTTCAAGCTTGTAGGAGTTTTCACCTTTTTGGCATTACTCTGACTCATGCTATTTACTTCTTTTTTTTTTTGTTTTTTTTCCTTCTTGTTTTTGTTTTTATTAATCAGAGATAATTTATAAATATAATGAGAATTACATATATTAAACTGAACAATTATAACTCTTAATTGTGGTGAAAGTTGAACTTCAGATCTCAACAATTAAGATAATATTACTGCCAATCAAATGCACTAAATCATAAATATCAGTTATTTTTCAGTTAATTAGCATGTGGAAGACATGAAGGTATAAGAGATCCTCTTAATTTTAAGGGTATGGACTAAAAGATTATGATATATAGCATTAGTGTCCAAGAGCACCATGTAACAATGTCACAAACCAATAATAAAATGACCTCTCATATGTCTCCCAATCAATCAAGATAAAAAAGAGGACCCATCCAATTGATTAATCACAATCCTTATTTGATTTCAAATGCGAGACTGTTCCTATCATATAGATGTAATCAACTACAAATCACATATAGACTTGGATTTTCACTACTAGTGAGAGTCGAACTTGAAATAATTGTATTTATAATTTATTTAATGACTCTCTCAATCAATAAATTATCTGTGTGAATTAAATATGCGACACTTAGACATGTACAATTAAATCTATTGATAATGATAAGAACAATCAAAATTTTAAAAGGCTTTTCTAAGGCTCGCTTCGATGCACGCCTCGAGATCATACTAAGGCAAAACGCCTCAAGGCTTTAATTTTTAGGCTTTACTCCCTAAAGCTTGCACACATAGTTTGAGACATGCGGCTTAGGTGCGTCTTGTATGCCTTTTATGCATAAGCATGTGAAGAGTATGCATATGAAGCTTGTCTTAGGATCTTGTTAAACTTACACTAATAGATGGTTTAAACATAAAAAAGAAAAAAAGAACTCCTTTTACAACTATATTCTATAGGAAAAATTAAGTAAATGACCAATCAAGAAAAAATACAAAATTAATGCTCAGTGAGAAACTCAATCACTAGAACTAAGGATACCAATTTCACTTTCAATAAAGCAAAACTTCCTTCTTGCACTGAACCTTGAGCATAAAAATATTTATACCTTTATATTTAATTTTGATGTGTTTATTTATTGTCTTAAAACATTTACTAAATATAAAATTTTAAAATTTGAACTGCTTACGCCTCAACACCTTAAGGCTTACGCCTCGTCTCATGAGCGGTAAAACGCCTCCCATTATGCATTCGCCTTTAAAAACTTTGAGAACAATCACTAGCAAAGTTCTCTTGAAATTTCGGAATTTTAGAAGAGAGGAAGACCAAAATAAGTAGCGTGTTCATGTGATACAATAAATAGTATGATATTAGTGAGATTAATCATTGCTTCTTCCTTAAATTTGTAAAAGATGTTTATTTTGTTTGTTTGTTTGTTTTTTTTTTTTTTAAAATAAAAAACCTTTTTTGAAGCTTTTATCCTTTAGTATACCTTTTCATTAATAAACTTTTTTTTTTTTTTTTTTTTTTTTTTTTTTTTTTTTTTTTTTTTGTGTGGGTAAGATCAATACTGTAGTCTCATATTATAGTTAAGTTATTAACACTGAAAAAGTATACAGAAAATGCACTGAACAGACTCAACAAAAGTGACCCATACCGACCTACAGAAGTGGCACATACCGGACTACATTAGTGACAAACCAAACATTCCCTTCATTGATTACACTTGGTACCCTTCATTGATTGAGCAATACTAGGTATCATGAAAAATCTTTCATGAAAATAATCATGAAAATTTTGTGGCCCTTGGATTACACTTAAAATAAAGCACCACACACTAATCAAGGTAATCCAAGAATCATAAATCTTTCATGATCATTTTCATGAAAAAATTTTCATGATACCTAACTTTTCTCTCATTGATTACACTTTGTAGTCTTTTAATTGAGAACCTTTTGGTCCCAATGACAACTAGGAGTGAGTAGAACATGCATTAAGAATATTAAAAAAAAGTAATGTTATCCATAATCTCATTTTCTACTTTATTTTCTCACTCTAAGGATGAGGCAATGGTACTAACATTAATAAATACATATTAGATCCATTCACTTGTATTTAGAGATGAAAAAATATAGTAAAAAATAGGATTACACGTAATATTTTCTAAAGATAAAAGGCCAAAACTTGTGAAATCAATAGAAGGGAGTGGATAGACTATGCAAACAAGCTTTGTTTGGTGCACAAGCCATGCCAAGATTGCCATGTGCATTATCATCCAAGTTCCACAAGCCCTCCCACAAAATGTTGTCTTCCTTGGGGGGTTCAGGCACATATGCATAGCCAATGAACATTGAATACAACAAGCCTTGTTCGTCAGCTGTGTTGGGATTCATGGTTGTGGCCATTTCTTGCCTCACTTGATGAGCTAGAGATGGCACTCCATTTTCATTTTCATCAAGTAAATATGACATCCTCTTTTTCATGTCTACTTGGTTTATCTGTTGTCGTCGTTGTTGTTGTTGTTGCTGCTGCTGTTGAAATTGTTGCTTTCTTAGAAGGCGAGCCTTCGCCTTTTCGTTGTTATTTGGGGAGGCCTTTGACTTTTTCTTGAAATGAGTCCTCCAGTAATTTTTAATCTCATTGTCAGTTCTTCCTGGAAGTGTTCGTGCAATCATTGACCACCTATAATTTGAGAATAGTAGCTTTAGTGATCAATTTGAAATAAAAAATACTATGTTAATTAGAATTTGCAAAATTAAACGGTTGGTTGAGTTTTTGAATCACTTTTCTAAAATTCAAAATTGATAATCTGTTTGGTTTTGGATTTTCACAACATATATTTCAAAATTCTTCTCAAACCCAAGTTTTGAAACTCAAAACTTGTTTGGTTGAGGTTTTTACAAACAAGTTTTTAAAACTCAAATTTGTTTGGTTTTTAAGTATTGGTCAAATAATTTTTTATGTTGTAGATGTATATAATCTAGATATACTTAAACAGTAAATAAAATGTGAAGAAAATTAAAAACAAATTTAATAAATACATAAAATATTAAAATTGTATTAGTTTTTAAAATGAGTGAATTTTATTTTATTTTTGTATATTTGTCATTATTTAGTAATTTTATAAAAAAATTTCATAAATGTGAAATGCTTTAAATGTATGTAGAATGAGTAGGTATAAAACTAGAAAAAAAGTGTTAACAATTTAAAAACGTTCATAAAAAATAGAGAGTGAAACAAAATCATATAGAATAGATTAGACACATCCAAAATGTACATTTAGAATATATATATGAAAGAAATAAACAAATTTAATATTGCAAACAAGTTTTGACTACAAGACAAAAAAAATTCAAAAACTAGTTTTGAAAATTCATAATCAAACAAGTTTTAAATTTAATTTTCTAAAAATTATTTTCAAAAACTCATAACCAAACAAGTTTTTAATTTTCAAAAATTCAAAATCCAAAACTGATTTTAAAACTAAATCAAAAGCATTGTCGACTGATTACCTGTTCCCCCACCTAGCATGCAGGTCGAGAATTATGGTCTCTTCATGAGGGGTGATTTGTCCCCTCTTGAGGTCTGGCCTCAAGTAATTCACCCACCTAAATCTACAGCTCTTTCCATTCCTTTTCAATCCTGTTTCAAGCAAAACCAATTGAATTTTTTTAGTTCAATGTAAAAAAAGAAAAAAGGAAAAAGCCATTGAAGAAATTTTTTGATCAAGTCCTACATGATGGACTGCTCATTTTTTACCCCATCACAACCCTGTCTAGACAACTTTTTTTTAAGCCATTTCCAAACATGACATGGTTTAAATTCAACTGGAGTAAATCTAAGTATAAACGGATTTTCACAAAATAAGACACAAATATGAGATAAAAAGTAGATCTCACATATAATGGATCCCACGTGTAGGGCTCACCAGTCTTACATTTGTGTTTTATTTTATAAATTTTCTCTATGTTCATATATAGCACAATTGTTTCAATTAGCTTATAAGCCTAAATTACTAAAATAAGCCAACCTCACTTAAATTGAAAGTAAAGTGGAAGTAAGGAGACTACATGCAAAGGGGTTAGGAAAAAACAAGAACTTAAATGAGATGGCAATTGAAGGATTGATGTTACGCTCCTTAGTCGAATGTCATGTCTGGCCTTTTTTTTTTTTTTCCCTCTTATCAATTATAAATTTATATCTATACCATCTATATTATCATATAAAGTGTACAATAAACTTGGTATTAACATTTTTTGTCACAATTTTTCTTATTCCTAAATTACCCTTATGTAATTGCAATTGTTAAATTCAATCACATCCATGAATCTTGTAAATGTTGATTTTAAACACACCTATGTAAATGTACACATCATCTAGTGTATGTATATATATACACATATGCACACATACCTGCAAGGCTAGCTACAGTGTTCCATCTTCCTTCACCATGCAACTTGACATATTCAATGAGCAACCTATCTTCCTCAGCTGTCCAAGGACCCTTCCTCCACTCTTGTTCTATGACATCCCACCCCAAGTGTTTTGCCATAGCTCCCCAAGACATAAAAGCAAAAAAGCTACTTTGGTGTCTTCAATATTATGTGACATAAGGGTTAGTGTTTTGCTTCATATTTATATATGCACAAAAGGCCTCTTCATTCCCGTTTAGTCAATTTTATGTCCTTATCAAATCATCACTCTCCTCTCTCGTCTCTCCACATGAGGTACGGATGATCCCTATAATAATAATCATTTAACATCTGAAGTTACCAGAATGTCCTCGGACATTTCTTGTTCACAATATTTATCATTTATTGTCCCGTCTTTTCAAAATATCACGGTAATTGTATGTCCACCTAATAAGAATGAGACTATGTATTTGCATGATTGAAAAAATAGAAATGTTCTTAAAAAAATCACAAAACATTGTTAGTTGTGCACATGGTCACGTGGTGACATGGACTCATGTGATAATTTTTACTCCGTATGAAAATTTCCAAGCCAATAATTATAAGGATCTAGCCACCCTACCTCCTCCGCCTTTTGTTTGTTTTGTTCTGTTTTAATTTCCGATATACCCAAAAAATAATTATAAGGTATGAGTGTATTTTAAGAAATCAAAAAAATGCCAAGGAATTGGGTAACATGTTTTTTTTGAGGATCCAAATCTATTGAGTAGGAACAAGACTAGGAATTTCTACTGTCCTGTGCAGGTGGAGTAACAATTTAAAATATTTAAAATTTAAATTTCTTATTAAATACAAATTTCTTAAATTGTGAAGTATCTTAAATGATGGATTTAATATTAATCAAATCGAACGACAAAATCAAGTGTGAATTTTAATTATTTTATTATGTGACGCCTTGTTACGTTGCCATTTGTACAGGCAATAGGATTTCCTACAGTTTGAGTTGCATAAAATCTTTTTTCTTTAGATCGTATTTAGATCTTAAATTTGAGGAAGAATTTGTATAAAAAAAAATGCGAATAAGATTGAAGTCATTCTCTCCATTTTCCCAATTTTTTTTAATATAAATTTTTATTTAAATTTATAATTCAAATACAATCTTAATTTAATATATTTATTGATGAATAGAGGTAATAGAAATTGGAATGCCATGGAAAAAGGCCACGTATGCCCTAGGGCTTCTTCATCTAGACACTAACAACTAATAGCTCTAAAAGTATTGTCACATGCTTCTAATTAAAGTATTAGTGGGTGGCAATTTTTTTAACTTGAAAATCACAAGATGGCCAATGGATATTGAGCAAGTGTTAAATTTGCTTACTTCTTAAGGAGATAGATATGATAATCACCATAAAAATCTTATGTTAAATATAATTTGTTGGGTGCCATATTGGGTATAGGAATCATAAAATATTGAAGCAATTCTTGCTTTAAGGGAACAGATGGTGCTCATTTGATGAGTTTGGAAATTGTGTTTTGGTTACATGAGGAGGCACAGATTGATTATGCTATCAAGCTCATATGGCAACAAAGAACCTCCACTTAGGTAGTAGTGTTATTTAACCAGGCTAGGTTAACTTAATTGGCCAGCTGTATATTTTTACTTAACAGGTCTCATTTTGAGAACATGTTGGCAATGTTTTCGCTATAAAAAATTAAGGTTTTACAAATCAAAATTTAAGAATAAAATTATTTTTTAGGGATTAAATATTTTTGTTACGAAAAGTATTATCATTATATTTTTAGCAACGAAAATTAGACATTAGTGATGAATTATTATCTTTTTCGGACTAAATTTTTTTATTTTAAAAAATAAATCATTTTGAGATCAAATTATTTTGTTCCTAAAAGTTTATCTATTATTGACATTTTCAAAATTTTGTCACTAAAGCCTTATTTTTTATTTTTCGGCATGACCTTTTAACGACTATTTTCACGACGATAAAAATTGGTCCTTAAATGTCTTTTGTAATAAAATTTTCACTTTTAGAGACTAAAAAAAATAATTTTTAAAACTCTTATATGTTGTAGTGTTTTATGATGGGTAAATGTTGCAAATATCAATGGGTTGCATTCTCATGTTGCCTTATTATTTATTTATTTAATTTTTGGGGGTATGGAGCTTCAATATTTCGAGATTTTTTTTGTTTGAAAACCAAATTTTCTTGACAATAAAGCCACCCTACCTAAAAAATTAGGTTTTGAGCAAACAGTGTCCAATTTGATTTAATTATTATCATGTTTATAATTAATTTCTTATCCATTGATTAAAAAAAAAGAGTGTCCCTGGCCATGCACGTGGCTGGGGTTCAAGCTCCATCTTCCAAGCTTAACTATAATATGGGCGGTGATTGAGGGCCCGAAATGGAGAGCCCCGAATGGCTCGAAATTCCATTTCGGGTAAAAAGAAAGAAAAAAAAAAAGAAAAAAGAAAGAAAAAAAAAAAAACAGTTTTTAAAATTGGAAATTAGGGGTATTAGGGGCAACTTTTTTAGGGCTCTCAATCATTTTCCCTATAATATATGATGTTCTTATAATTTTTTTTTTTAAAAAAGATAAATGGTATTTGTGGTCTTCTAATGTGTAATTTGTCTTTTATATAAATGATAGCATCAATTACAAAATGAAATATAAATTAAGGAGATAATGATTCATTTAAAAGGGAATACATCATTTTAAATCGGTTGCCAATCCTCAATCATTTTTTCGGAGAGTGAATGAATTATTTTGTCTATTAATTTTTGTCTAGTTTTTGTAGGAGCATTATTGGACTAAATTGATACAATATGAAGAATTTAAAAGTAAAATTGATATAATTAGAACTATAAGGATCAAATTAATACAAGAAACAAATTACAAGACCTATCAATGTAATTTGCTCTAAAAAAAAGTTATGGCTTTTTTGGACCTATTTTTGACTATTATTTCATTATCTATCTATCTATACTATTACAAAGATGAGGCTAGAGTTATTGTTGATGTCTCAATTTTTGAGTTTTTCCAAAATACACCAATAGCAGTTACATGGGTAGTTAGTTATGCCATACATTCAATTTTTTTTTTTTTTTTTTTTACCTGATGCCAATTATATGCAATATTTAAGAGTTTTAGAAACAGATTTTTTTTTGGTCTCTGCAAGTATAAATTTTGTTGCAAAAAAATAATAATTTAGGGACTAATTTTAGCTGTTGCGAGAATAGTTACTAAAAAGTCGTCTTGAAAAGTAAAAAAAAACAGTTTTTAGGGACAAAATTATGAAAATGTGCTAATAAATGCACTTTTAGGGACAAAATAACTTGATTTCAAAAGGTTAGTAATTCATAACTAAATGTCTAATTTTGTCGTTAAAAATAAAATAATAATGCTTTTGGCGACAAAAACATTTTGTCCCTAAAAAGTGATTATGTCTCTAAATTTTTATCTCTAAAATATTAATTTAGTGTAGTGGTAGCTATGGATTCAATTTTTATTTTATTTTATATTTTATTTCAATTGTTGATATTTTCAGATTCATAAAATGTTTCAATTTTCAAAAGGTTGCAACAAAACCAGTACATCAGCCATTTTCACCGTCTTTTATTTATTTATTTTTTTTAAAAACTATATATTCTGAAAAGAAAAATGATATATAAATCTATTTTCTAAATTCAATAATATATAAACAAAATAATTAGTTTATGATTATGGAAGATATCAGAAAAAGAGTTGCATTACATATTGCCACATCACATCATTAGATTCAAAAAGCATTTATCAAAATCATGTTTATTGTTCGTTTTTTAAAAATAAAAATTTGATGATATCATGTGATTAAAATTATTGAATTAGTTAAATTATTTTTTTTTATGAATAATTACTTAAAAAGGTCTCAATAAATAAATAAATTAAATCATCAAAAATAGATAATGTGATGGGCCCAATAGGACTTGACTCAACAATCCAATCCATTTTGTAGATTACCGACAAGTTTTGCTCTTTAACAGAGGGTTGAAAGAGGGTTGACCACAAAAAAAATATAAAACAAAGAAAAATGAGAGACATTTTATAAATCTCAAAATATTTTTGCTAATTTTAAAATATTTTAAAAATACTTTTAACTCTAATTTTAGTGCTAAATAATGTCCTAGAAGCATTCCTTAATAATTGTCTTTGATAAAAATAGGGGGATTTATTATTATTTTTTTTCTTCAAGTGTTTGTATTATAATTAATTCATAAGAAATTCTCGTATTCCAATAAGTTTTATTATTTGAACATTTAATTTACCAAATCTTAAATCTCATATTTTATAGACATTTCTACCCTTACAAATATTTTTTGAACGGTTAGTAATTTAGTGATGTGGACATTTATATTTTACATTATGAATACTCACATTGATGTGTGAATATTCATATCGACGGTGTGAACATTCACATCGACAGTGTGAACATTATTAGTGATATTTTAGTAATTATGACACTTATAAGACTTATTGAAATATAAAAAAATAATATCAACTAAATAAAACATGAATAGATAAAAAAATTTTTATGAAAAAGTGCCCCATAAAAATAAGCGTGCTTAGTGACCTAAGATTTTTAGTGATAATAGTAGCCAAAAAGTTAGTAAAGGCCCAAAAGAAAAATCTGCATGAGCTGGTTTTGTTCCCACGCCTTTTGATTTATTTGTTTATTTATTTTTCAGAGTAGATTAGGATAAGAAGTTGTAATCTCGGAAAATTATTTGGTGGTCTTGGTAAAGTTTATGTGATATTTTAATTTTATAATTTTATTGATTAAAATAGTGAGACTTAATACATCTGTATTGATTTTTTTAAGAGACAATATAACACTTATTATATGTTGAATAATATGAAGAATAATGATAAACAAATAAAACATTCAAATGAAATTATCATATATAATGTGAAAATATTAATATTGAGAGAGAGAGAGAGTGATTGAAAGACTAAACATAGACTCTTTTATTTCAATATCTTAAGCCTTACAATGCTACTCCATTATATAGGAGGTTTATACAATATGATCAGATGGAGGCCATGAGGCCACGAGGCCAAAAACACAAACAAGCAGGCCACGAGGCCACTACATATTTAACTATACATTAATATATATTACATATATATCAGCATACACTCTGT